TAAGTGCCTTTGTACGGGGTATGGTAGTAGGTGCCAGGCGCACCGGTTTGGGAAGCATTGGAATCAACATAAGCCAGTATCCCTGTGGAACGCTTTCAACACCTTGTAGAGTGCGGGCCCCGTCTAAATGAAGCTGTTCTGAGGGCAACAGGGGATGCAACTCAATATTAGGAATGTGTTCCTAATGTTTAGTACACTCAGTGTACATTGCCCTATACATTTCTGGCTATAATACTTCTATATGAAAAATGGGATCGTCATTGACTTTTGCCCTCTTTTAAAGCAAAACTCACACACAATACCTTCTTTGAGGAACATGATAAATGTAACCATGTAGTAATGGAACATGATGTCATCGACCTAGTGAGACACTAGAGATTGTCTTCGGGTGGAACTCAAGACACAGGGCTGTATAAATATCATGCCTAACTAGAACGTCTTAATTGAAGCCCTCTCTCTTCTTAAACGATTTACGGTCTGTTGTTGTAATGTTGGCTGAATGCTAAATGACTGAGCCTTACTAAGCATCTACTGTAAAACTGAGAGAAAATCTGACTGCTGAACCATGTATTTCTGTACTTTATTTGTCAACAAGAGGTATCTAGAGACATTGTAGATGAGAAATGTGGAGTCAGGGGAGAAAGGTTTAGAGTCCTTTTCATTCATCCCACTGAGAACATGTGCCACAAAATGTAATGTTTAAAACCAATTTTGGAGTCTTACTGTAAGTTTTTGGCACTCCAACAGTGCATGAACAGCTATGTTATCATCATCATATGTGGAGATTGTGAATACATGTAGGATTTAAGCTACGATGACGGCATGCAAGCTTATATATAATTGCAATGAGGCTGAGAGGGATTTTGACGTAAACACAAAAAGGTTCTCTTTTCCAAGTATACATTATCTAGCATGTGTACCCTGGATACACTAAAACATCCCCTTGTACAGTAAGGATTACAGTCTGTTTCAAAATGCCCATAAACAGTATTTAAAGCTTAATTGAGACTAAACTTTGATCTATACTTGTTTATGGTGTATACAATACCATCTTGTTTTACTCTGCCATAACACGCAACAGTGAAATCAGATTTTACCAAGTAATTTAGTACGCTCCAATATTATGATGGTCTAACAACCAGTTTGATGGCACTGCACAGCTTATTACTGTGTAAACGTATGATTTACTGTATGGATAATTGCACAGTTGACATTAATTTTCACTTGACTTTCTCTGGAAAACAACTGTAGCTGCATGTTTTGAAGGAGCATCTCATATCACATCTTAAACACTCATATTTGCTCTCTCCTGTGTCTCTCTCTCTCTCCTCTCTCTCCTCTCTCTCTCTCTATGTGATGCCATCTGTGTATGGATTCTGTCACCGATTCCAATAGAACTGAGGTGACACCATGTAATTTGGAGAAAGAGCCAATGCTCCAGAACCAAGCTGAGTTATTCTGTTCCTTTGAACTCCAGGTGCTCATCCTTTCTCTGATTCTGCATGAGGATTCCTTAATTGGAATGGGAGCAAACAGAGGAGAAGGAGAAAGGAAGGAGGGGATACCTCATCATAACAGGTATGTGATCATATCGGTGCTATCAGGAAATGGAGTGGCTGCTCAAGGAACACCTCACGTTGTGCAGACGACATCTCCTAGATGCTGCTGCCTCTTTCCATGAGGTCATTCCTGGCCAGGGAGATTCTGTGAGTTTATAGTTCTGCTAAGTGCCTCAAAAAGCCAGACAGAAGATTGGGTTTTATTCCACTTCACAGCAACATATAAACAATGGTCTGCACCATGTTGAAAGCTGCTCTCCTTTGACTCTTTATGGTTTGTCCCAAAACGTTAGCTTCTTTGCTAAAAGCATTCAGGTGAAATCGTATGGATTCAATATTGTTTTTCACACATGACCGGGTGAAGGAAGGTAACTCCATGCTTTGTTCATTCCTCCGTCCACACACTCAGGCCATGTGATACGAAAGTATTCATCACTTTGAAACAGATTCAACTGCTCGAGCCCTGCGTGTATTCAACGCTAAAGTGCCGAAGCGCCATTAATCAGAGAAGTCCACACTGATAAATGAGGCTTCACGTTAAAGTGTTTGATTATACTCTGCAGATGTGAGAGGCATGAGCGCCAGTTGCAGACCCCACAGTCCACCAGACACTAGACTGCATCCCAGAAGGCTCCATATTCCCTATATAGTGTACTACTTTTCACCAGAGCCCTATGGGCCCTGGTCAAAGGTAGTGCACCAGAAAGGAAATAGGGTGCCATTTGGGATGCACACAGTGCACCAGGAATGGTTTGCAAATGTGCAAAAGGCTGCTCTTTCATCTGGCCTGGCGTCTGTGAGACAACGTGCTGCACTCAGCCAGAGCACTTGTGCCAATAGTATCGGCTCTGACCCCAAAAGGTGAGTCACCCCTGGCTTTGAGAGGTGGACTACTTTTTATAGGCAGTAATCTTATGCATCTATAACATAACATGCATCAATAACACAACAATGATGACACACTCTTTTCCTATCATGTAGTGCTTACAATGTGATGACAGAACGACGATAAATCACCACTACTTCAAGGATCAAGGATACTGTTTAAACAATTGGGATTTGACGTCCAATCGTCCCTTTGATGAACTTTTAGTTGGGCGGTTCAAGAAGAGGTCACATTATATTTGTTTTATACTCATCTATCAGAGAAAATGGTGACTTGAAACTATTTCTGCTGGGAATCTGTTTTTAATTTTACCACCATCAAAGAGCAGCATCTTAATCTCCATGCCTCTCTAAGGAAAATCATGGATTCACTTCAAAGGCTCATTATTGATAAGAGTGGTACGCTGAGGAGCAAGGACATTCTTCATCCCTCCCTGCTCATCCCTTTTCAATTAAATACCAAAACTGTGCTGATGAAAAATGCCAGAGCTGCATATAGACGTAGTGAACTTCCTTAAATCTTTTCAGTGTATCCTTAGGAACATGCTTTTTAGTTTAATAAAATGGCTCCATCTGTTTGAACTAAATCTAATTTAATTGAATTTATTTGGGTAAAAGACATACAACAAAATGTACAACGTGGATCCAGAGGATAGCACTTAAAATAATGAATGAAAATATTATTTTCCTCGATGGGAAAAACAATAGCCTAACAATAGCCTAATGGATTTCTACCTAAATCTGAACTCTTCATTGTCATCTCTCATCCATGCTATCTAACCATCAGATATACCTGGGACACATTGCAACCAGTACAAAACCTTCCAGTTGCTCAGCTTAAGTACCTACATGCGTTGAAGTTGATAGCAACAAGTAGCTTGTGTGATTCATAGTTCATACCAAGTAAAATGTATGTTCAAACTAAAATGAAATAATCTCCAAAGCAGTTAAGCCAGAGCTGACGATGAGGTGTTTGTTTCCATGTAGTTGACAGGTTATGACCTGATGATTGTAGCTTATACAGACTTGTGAGTCTGACTTGTGTACTTAGCAATTATGATATCAGAGGGGGAAAAAGTGGTGCGCAAATGCCATGTAAAAGTGAATGCTGCTCAGTAGCATGCTAATTATCTCTTGACTACATTTACATTATTTAGCAGACGCTCTTATCCAGAGCGACTTACATGTGTCCTTGCTTCGATGTGTCCTTGCTTAAGGACACATCGACAGATTTTTCACCTAGTCTGCTCGGGGATTAGAACCAGCGACCTTTTCGGTTACTAGCACAACGCTCTTACCCACTAAGATTCTTTGTATCTGTTCCTGGACCCCTTCTTCCTTCCATGTTTCCATCTCAGGGCAAAGAAGTATCTATCTGCTAAACTTGTCCTTTCGTTCCAAATTTCTTATCAGACACGTATTCTCTGTTCATTTGTCAGGAAAAACATGGTTAGACATGCGTAACTTAATGTTCAAGAGGCAACTTCTACAGTAACTGAACATTGAAACTTGCTGCCATTTTCTCTCTGTCGTCTTTTGCTTTGTTCACGCTAAACCACTCCTCTCATGACCTTTGTCTTCCAGTTGTACCAATCAAAATAGCTCTGCTTTCAGGGCATCCAATAAAAATGTGTTAACAGCATCTGGCCCTCAAGGCAGATCTGCCCCTAGTTCATTACAGTTTCCTAGATTTGATTGTTGTGGATGTATTAAATCATACCCCTGAAAAACTATCCATTTCCAAATCATATATTTTTCTGCTGTGAAATAATGATTGACACGAGAGAACATTTTCAGTAGTTTTATTGAAAAATGCCTCTTCTGTTTCAGAAATAAATAAGAAAATAAGGCTGTGGAATTCACAATTTGCAGTTAAAACATGAAGCAGCAATACCATATCCATAGTCTTGCACACAAATTCCAACTGCATTCGATATTGATAAAACAACAATGATAACAACTATATTCTGATTAAAAAACATACTAAATATACACCACAGACATGCAACTTTTGGTAAAATCAGCTGTGAGTTGATATAAGAAAACGGATAAATATTTAGTCTAAAGATACAAAATGGAAGCCATGTTTAACTGCAGTACTGAAGATGAAAACTTTAGGTGGATGGTGAACAAGTGAAAGAGAGGGCAAAAGTATCAAATAGGAATAAAACAACATCTGATAATCAGACATTTTAGGTGAACCATGATTGAAAAGAGAAGCGTTTTTCGTAGGATGCCCCAACACTGTGTGAACAAACATTTGCATTGCCCAACACTGCAATTCGATAAACACTTAATGCAGATATGTTACAAGCAAAAGACACAATAGGAAAAGACAGCAAGCTCACAGATTGTCATGGAATAATTTCTAGGATTTTGTTTCCCCCTCCCCCAACAAAAGATTAATTCACATAGGATTTATGGTACTTCCAAATATAGATGAGGTATCAAACCGCTTTTTAGTGAAATGTGCATAGCCCTTAATGACACCATATGTGAACAAAACAACAAAAACCACAAGAAGAACCAAAAATAACCTCCTCTTTTATGACGCTATCCTTTTGGATTCCTTTCTTGATAGTGACCTCTTTCAACGCTCATTTTGTGAGTCATCTTCTTCTTCAGGTATTGGGACTACGTAGGTTTCAGGCTCAGGTGAATATGGCTCTGGTTGGAAATAGTGTTTTATGCCGATTGAACATTAGTTTAATTTGAAGAGTATGTCTCAACATGCACAAAATGAATTGTTGTGTTATATTTTATTTTCAGGCTTGGACATGCAGTATACTGGTGAAATGACACAATTGAGTGGACATGGCCATATACAGATAGGTTGTGATTTTCAAGGGCACTGATAGAAAGGGTTTGTAAATGTAAAATGTAAAATGTAAACAATTTAGTGCATCTTCTAAATCTGTGTGATGTTAGCATTTCAATGTTAGTACAGTTTGAGTGGTGGTAGGTGGGTTAAATCATTTAACAGAATCATCATTGCCATTTGCTGCAACTCATTCATTTACAAAATATCGCACAAAATATTAAAAATCTAGTAACTCTAGCACCAGCCTATTCATACGTTGTGTGATGTTATTCCTCAGAACATAACAGAGGTAACCAGCTGGTAGTGGTAGAATATCCATTAATACTACATCAAAATAAAGAAATGGGAAACAGAAAAATGTATGAATGACGATTCTTAGAATGCTCCTACTGTGTACATAAAGAGAAAGACTACCCTCAGGGGGACATGGTACGATATGGCCCTGAGCAGTCTGTGTGTGTGTAGGCTAAAGAAACATCACTTGTGGGGACGTGGTAGAAAAAGAGGCATTCATGTTGGCATTCAGCAAGCAGCAGGTTACAAGGCAAAAGTGTAACTACAGATGTTAAAACTAAATTTAGTGGATGTGTTTCAAACATCATTTACGAGGCACCATTAGTTTATTTACAGATAACACCTCAAGAGTAACAATATTAATGTTGCTGAAGTTGTTGTTTCTCTCTGCTACAAAATCCAACCTGGTTAGTGTTTCTGTTTGTTTTTGTTTGTTTATTTGTATATGGTCCTCCACCCGATAGAAGGTCTTTCTCTGTTCGTTCTTTGGCTTCAAGATGCAAACAGACCACTACGTTGTTACCATCACCGATGCTTGTTTGTTCTAGTTGCTCTACAATGTTGTTAGTACCAGTCCTCCTTCTTCTTGTCTTTCTCAACATAGTTTGTTAATATTATCCTTTGGTGGTTATCCTCAAACAGCTCTAGAGCTCTAGAGCACGTGAGCAAGTATCTCAGTAAGAGGAATTCAAAGTGAAAGCAGCACAGGCGATTTAGAAAGTTTACTATGGTGAACCTGAAATAAGGTCAAACAGGGTGTTAGTCTTCAGTTGGTATGGGAATATTTACTTTCTCTCCTAATGTTAACAAATCAATTATCACAATTTATATATAGTCGTTTCTGGAATATATCAATTTTGTCATCAGTCTATACTGTACTTATGTTATGTAGCAACTATGTAATAACTATGTAGCAACTATGTTGTAACTATGTAGTAACTATGTAGTAACTACTCATGCTTTTAACTCATGTTTCATGCTTCGGCCTCATGCAGTCATTGAAGAGGTCATGTCCATCTACCTTTCCAGTTACATACCTCGGTATCCTTGTCCATTGTAAGGAATGCCGACACACTGGGAGGAGTCACAGTAGCCAGGAGTGCCAGGTTGGCCCCTAATACCTGCAAAACCTTGGCGCCCAGGAGGACCGCGGGGCCCGGTGGAGCCTGCAGGGCCTGGAGGGCCGGTCCGTGTCTCGCCTGCTGGGCCTGAGAGAGAAAAAAATCACAACCAACCAATCAGAACGCATCTGAGTGTCATCACCCTGTGACATCAGTGGGAACTATAAGAGTAGTAACTGTTTCTGCCACAACAGCTTGGAACATTCAATAAAAAAAAGGAAAAACTGAAGCTGAAGGAAAAACCTGGATTCCTTCGTTGAACCTTTTTCCCTCCTCTGTTTCGTCTAGACGTTTATGAAAGCTTGGAATTTTCCCCCTAACTCTCTCAGAGTCTTTCATCCATGCTCCTCTAAGTCCTTTAAGCATGTGTTGTGAATGAGGCCACAAGAAGAAGACCTCAGCACATCCATCTGATTAGCCCCTGAACAACCACTCACCATCAGCTAGCTTCCCCAGTAATCTGGGCAATTCCTTTTCCCCGATTTAAGACCATTTTCCACAAGTCTTGACCTTGTAGACCTAAGTAAATTGCATGTTTTTTCCCCAAGCTCCCCTTGTTGTAGACCAGGCTTCTGGAAGCCCAGTGCATTATAGTTAAACATGCTGCATTACAGTGGAAGTGGATGGCTGGATGGCTGTATTAGCTACAGCTGTATTGCTACTCTACAGCCCCTGGCAGGATGAGCTCATGTTATTGTTGGATGTCCTGATAGGCAGTTTGGCTAGAGTCTAATGATTCTGCATTACAGGGTTAAACCAAAGGGAATCTTTGGTTTCAGTACACAATCTATGATCTCGGTCAGCACACTGGGCATATCAGTAACAGCTTGTAATGACCGTGGTACTGCTCAAGCCATTAGAACGGATGGAGAGTGTCTAAGGAGAGCTCATTCTGAAATATCTGGTGACTATATCCAGAAAGTTTGATGTCGCTTATCTGTTTGGTACAGATAAGTCACACACATAAACCTCTCTCACTCTTTTGGTTTTCACATTTGCAACTGTAACTGCTCTCCTTTGCTTTCACTCTGAACTGGCACTTTTCGAACCATGAGGTGTCATAGAGTTCAGATGTGTCCTATCTTCAGGTGCAGCAATTAATGTTTACCCCAGTGTGAATGGAGCATTTATTTCAACATCTGTGCATACGAGCGCCTCACACACAAAGGCAACGTAAATCCCCTAGAAGGCAGTGTTTAACTGGGAAAACGCCGGACAGCAGCGTTGATAATTTATTAAGCACAGCTGGCCTAGCACAGCTACAGGCAACACCTCTGAGCTGAGCTGTAGCCTGTAGTTACTGCAAGGCAGATTTTAACTGGGAGGAATGGTTCAATTCACAGTGACACACCCAAGCTTACAATGAGAGATGTGGTGAGAAATTACTCCCATTACTGTAGCTAAAGTAAAGTAACAATTGATTTCCCCAGATTCAAACAAAATAATATGACGCCATGAGAATCACGTGGAGGGATTAAGTTTACTGAATGAGCACCCTCATGAAAGGGGGTGGGTATTGCTATTAAGACTCGGATATGATGCGATCCAGGACAAAGGAGGAATGGATTGTTGTGGATCTGGAGCGGAAATGTTGTGTGAAACTAACCAGGTGGTCCTCTTTGTCCTCTCTGTCCCACTCCTGGTGTTCCCTGATCACCTTTCTCTCCTGAAGGGCCTGAGAAACAAACAACCAGAATCACTGACAGCAGACAAAGACTGGGACACACTCAAAGAGAAAAGCCTAATGCAAACATTATGACTGCACAGGAAGTGAAATATTAATGAAGCTTGCAGGGGGAAAAAAAGATAGACATTTCCCAAGCCACTGAAAACAGTCTAAGACAGGCCTACGGAAAGACACACAGAAATACAGACAGAACCACTGAGACGTATGGAATATGTTGTGAAGATGAGACCTTGGACAAGTCCATGAAGGCTTCATGCCATTGCTAAGACAGTAGTAAGACAGAATGGCTTGTCTATGGAAAAATGTCCAGTCTTTGTTCCAACTGTGACAATATGATTGATTCTCTTCTGATTCCACACAGCAAGGCACTCTAGTTAGGCCTACTGATATTGAACAGCTAGGTCAGCGGTGGAGGGCTGTGTGTCTGCTGGTTTTGCTATTTCCTTTGTTATTTCCTTTCAATGTGTGTCCACTTAAGACCTAGACAACCAGGTGAGAGGAGTTCCTAACTACAGGGGAGGAGAGAGAACCCGCAGACACACAGCCCTCCAGGAATTTAGTTTGACACTCCTGAGCTTGATCTATTGACAAACAGCTTTATTAGTCAACATAAAGACCTATTGACAAACAACTGTATTAGTCAACATATAGACCTATTGACAAACAGCTTTATTAGTCAACATAAAGACCTATTGACAAACAACTTTATTAGTCAACATAAAGACCTATTGACAAACAACTGTATTAGTCAACATATATACCTATTGACAAACAGCTTTATTAGTCAACATAAAGACCTATTGACAAACAACTTTATTAGTCAACATATAGACCTATTAACAAACAGCTTTATTAGCCAAAATATAGACCTATTGACAAACAGCTTTATTAGTCAACATAGGGGAATTCTTGGGCTCTTGGCAGTCATGGAAATGCGGGATGACGTACCTCTCTCTCCTTGCGGGCCAGGTTGTCCAGGACTTCCTGGGAATCCATTCCTGCCTGTCTGTCCGGGCTCTCCACGGGGACCCTGGTTACCGCTGGGCCCTGGGGGTCCGGAGGGACCTGGGTTGTTGCTGCTACGGTAACCGCTGGGAATCTGGTTCAGCATCGAATTTACTCTACTCATTTGTCCTAAAAGTAGACATTGAAAAGGTAACAGACATTTAATGAAATGCAGACTCTGTTAGGACTTTGATTTCACTGTAATGGCAGAACTAATTCTGAATGTAGTGCTAAAAAAGGCCCACTCACCGTTAACTATCTGCTCACACACTTGTCTGGCAATGGATCGCATCATGTTCTGAGGAGCAAAGTCGCCCTAGAAACAAACAGAGAGGTAGGCTTGGTGATGAATATACATGATTTACTGAGATTAACTGAGGTTAAAAACTTGAAGATAGACCCTAGGTGATGTTACTCACTCTCTCTCCTCTGTCCCCTTTCATACCATTGGCTCCCTGAATTAACAGAAGAATACAAGGCCCGTACATCTCACTGTATGATGCAACAACTTCGCCTTTCCGTGGTTTGCATGAAATAGAGAACTGTATTATGAAATTTGGTGAGATATATGCTTACCGAAACACCTTTGTCACCAGACTTTCCTGGTTTTCCTGAAGCCCCAGGCATTCCAGGAGATCCGGGAGGTCCCTGAATAGTGACAAGCACAAAATAACCAATCAGAAACATGTATTGCACCATGCACTTTAAGAGACCACAATGGAAATGTACTTTATTGTGTTATCCCTGTCAATGTACTGGGTTACTGTGTGTATGTCTTTTTTTTTATTGGCAAATAAAATCAATCAATCAGTCAATACAGAAAACACAAACAAAGGAAACCAATCAGATACAGTGACACAAACAAAGGAACCAATCAGATACAGCGACACAAACAAAGTAACCAATCAGATACAGTGACACAAACAAAGGAATCAATCGAGAGCCTCCTGACTGGTTGCATCACCGCCTGGTATGGCAACTGCTCGGCCACCTACGGCAAGGCACTACACAGGGTAGTGCGTACGGCCCAGTACATCACTGGGGCCAACCTTTTGCCATCCTGGACCTCTATACCAGGCGGTGTCAGAGGAAGGCCCTAAAAATTGTCAAAGACTCCAGACACCCTAGTCATAGACTGTTCTCTCTGCTACCACACGACAAGCGGTACCGGAGCGCCAAGTCTAGGTCCAAGAGGCTTCTAAACAACTTCTAGCCCCAAGCCATAAGACTCCTGAACATCTAATCAAATGGCTACCCAGACTAAACAGCTTCTATACATGTAATGGACATACACAAAATAGTCCAAATTGGTGAAGTGAAATGAAAAAATGTCACATGATCTGCCACATGATCTCAGTATATATACACCTGTTCTGAAAGGCCCCAGAGTCTGCAACACCACTAAGCAAGGGGCACCACCAAGCAAGCGGCACCACGGAGACCAAGGAGCTCTCCAAACAGGTCAGGGACAAAGTTGTGGAGAAGTACAGATCAGGGTTGGGTTATAAAAGAATATCCGAAACATTAAACATCCCACGGAGCACCATTAAATCCATTATTAAAAAATTTAAAGAATATGGCACCACAACAAACCTGCCAAGAGAGGGCCACCCACCAAACTCACAGACCATGCAAGGAGGGCATTAATCAGAGAGGCAAAAAAGAGACCAAAGATAACCCTGAAGGAGCTGCAAAGCTCCACAGCGGAGATTAGAATATCTGTCCATAGGACCACTTTAAGCCGTACACTCCACAGAGCTGGGCTTTACAGAAGAGTGGCCAGAAAAAAAGCCATTGCTTTAAGACAAAAATAAGCAAACACGTTTGGTGTTCTCCAAAAGGCATGTGGGAGAATCCCCAAACATATGGAAGAAGGTACTCTGGTCAGATGAGACTAAAATTGAGCTTTTTGGCCATCAAGGAAAACGCTATGTCTGGCGCAAACCCAACACCTCTCATCACCCCGAGAACACCATCCCCACAGTGAAGCATGGTGGTACACCAGCGGAACCCATCCAACTTGAAGGAGCTGGAGCAGTTTTGCCTTGAAGAATGGGCAAAGATCCCAGTGGCCAGATGTGCCAAGCTTATAGAGACATACCCCAAGAGACTTGCAGCTGTAATTGCTGCAAAAGGTGGCAAGGTGGGGGGGGGGGGGGGGGGGGGGTGAATAGTTATGCACGCTCAAGTTTTCTGTTTTTTTGTCTTATTTCTTGTTTGTTTCACAAGAAAAATATTTTGCATCTTCAAAGTGGTAGGCATGTTGTGTAAATCAAAAGATACAAACCCCAAAAAAATCCATTTTAATTCCAGGTTATAAGGCAACAAAATAGGAAAAATGCCAAGTGTGGTAAATACTATTGTTATTTTACCGCTGCTCTTTAATTATTTGTTACTTTTATTTCTTATTATTGTTTTATTTAATGTTTTTTTGTTTTGTTTTTTGGTATTCTTTCTTAAAATTGCATTGTTGGTTAAGGGCTTGTAAGTAAGCATTTCACTGTAAGGTCTACACCTGTTGTATTCGGCGCATGTGACAAATAAAATTTGATTTGATCAGATACAGTGACACAAACAAAGGAACCAATCAGATACAGCGACACAAACAAAACAACCAATCAGATTACATTCAAGAGATTTATGGTCTGTCTTTACTATGGTTTAGGAGAGTATGAGCTTGATAGTGAAATTGGTACACAGTAAATATATTTATTTCTCTCTCTGAATATTTTGTCTGAACATACCATTGGTCCTGTTGGGCCTCTGGATCCGGCCTGTCCCTCCTTTCCTTGGGGACCCTGCATTTGCAACACACAAACAATAGAGTTAAACAAGTTATTGAGATGACAGGATGAAGTACATTAGGCCTAGACATTGTGTGATCATTAGACAATGGCCTATTGACTCACCCTAGGTCCAGCAGGTCCAATTGGGCCGATGGTCCCAGCTACCCCAGGTGGACCCTGGGGAAAAAATACAGAAACACAGCCCACTTCAGAGCTGGACTGTTTTTTCTCACAGCCCACGTTAACACAGGTCACCTACCTTTGAGCAACCAACTCAAACCAGTTTGTTTCACCACCAGTTTTCCGTGTGTCAGACAGTAAATCTCCATTTTATTTCACGTTTGCTCTGAAACCCTGCTCACTTTTTTATTGTCAATCCTCTCTCGCCTTTGATGCTTTGGCATAAGATTTACAGGGAACATAATATATTCCAGATCCATTTTATTGGCCATTATAAAACAGGGCTGCGTACTCTGCAAGTCATTAAATGCATGTTGCTACAGCATCTGTTCTAGCATAGTCACCTGCAAACACTACCCACAATCAATTTGGGGATGGGTTCACCAAGGCTTTTATCTTGGAATCAATCATTATCTTACACTGGGTAATTCATTCTCCATGGTCTTGCGGCATGAACACAGCTGCATTAATTCCGAACTGAGGTTTAGTTTATTTTATACGGGGAGGGTGGGGGCTTGGTTCCTAAATCAGAATTGACTCGGCATTGAAATACTCTGAGTTTTCTAGTAGACATCTTTTAGACACGCTTCTCTTCTCTTTTTTTAATCTATAAATAAAAGAAGTGGGCTATTTCTAGAAATACAAAGACGCCATTTTATATATGAGGAATGGAGGGGCTATTTGTTAGTGGCGTTGTCGGTCTAATGGAGACCATCTCGGAGGATCTCTAAAATGCAGACATCTGAGGACACATGGAAGTGCATTGTTGTTGTGTAGAAAGTCACAAGCTAAGCCTGGAAATCATTGAATGTTGTCAATATTGATTAAATAGAAGAGCCAGCTTCGTTATGTGAGCAGATGGTCATTTCCCATGATGTTCTGTGTAGCTATGCCATCTATCATAGATGGTTGGTACGTTATAAAATATAGCCTCCATGAAACCAGATTTTTTATTCTTACATTTTTTTATCACCTCATCAGCTTTTTATGCACCATAGTACAACAACCGACACAAGGAGGAAGGCCAAATGTGGACGGCCTAACTAGAAGCCTCTGGTTAAGAGGAATTGTATACCAGGGTGATTGGTTTTCCACTCACTTAAGAGAGATTAAATCCAAATTCGGGAATCTCAACCTGTTGTTAGTTACTGCCTCTTTGTGAGTCCTCCTCATATGAAATATTGTCTGTGGCTTGCCACGTGGAGAGAGGCCAGAGTAGTAGCATATCTGTACCCCGTGAATTATCTCTGGTTTCCTGTTCTAAAACACAGCTGGGGCCACAAGCCAAAGCCGCACTCACTTTCTGTCCAGGTAGCCCAGAATCACCAGCTTCGCCTTTCGGTCCTTGGCGGCCCTGAAACAGCGGAGGGAGAAACCCATTCACACTCAGTGGATAACATAATAGTGCCTCTTAATTCAACACATGCTAACCTGGGTGACAGTTATAATAAAAATATCTGCCAATCTGTCTTTGTGTAACCCAAGATAAACACACTATGATGAGAGTTGTGTGCGGGATGTGTGGAAGTATATTGGTGATGTCCAAACAGGCCATTGTTAATGAGACATTTCTCTTGAGTTTGGGTGCGTTTCAGAGAAGGAAATCCCAGTGGTGATTTATGTAGCTGCATTGAGATTAGGCTGGTTTAAAGGCCTCAGATATCACGTTTAGCCCCAGACATGAAGGAATGCAGGCTCAACAGGCCCTGGCCACAATTACTCCGCAGCTTGTAAATTCCTTACATAATAAATGGCCGAAATGATCCCTATTTGGTGTGTGGAGTCATCGTGGGATTTACGTTTAACTGTTGTAAACGAGCTATGTGCAGCAGTGACTGGGGAGAGGGGAGTGTGTGTAGGAGTGTGTGAGTGTGGTGTGTTTAGTGGGAGAGAGAGACTCACGGCTTCTCCTGGAATAGACAGCCCGCTAGGTCCTTGAGGCCCGGGCAGACCCATAGGTCCTGGCAATCCTGTATCTCCACGCGGTCCAATTGGACCCTATCAGAGAAACAAAGACAAGAGGTAAGAATGAATTAGACCTGGAAAGAATGTTGCTATTGATATCTCCAGACTGAGAGTAGTAGCGCAGTCAAATGCTACTGTTGCAATCTGTGGAAGAAGGCACCAGAAACCGTGGAATGCCTGCACTGTCAAACCGAGCCTCACTCAATTTCGAGAAGACATTCCCAATAAGTGAATTCAGATGTGTTTCTTCCACATCAAAGCCATGAAATTGTAAACAGTTCTCAGTTTTCATCAAGAGCAGAAAAATATTTAAAGGACAGAATATTCCACATTCTCCAAACTGTGTCAAACACCTTGACCACTTTATGACTGCCGTCGGTTATGACTTTAAAAGGTAACCCTGCAGCCCTAAAGAGGGAATCTGAGAGGTGAGGTTAGTGAGGTACTTACAGCCGGGCCAGTCTCCCCTCTTTCACCCCGGGGACCTTTGCTACCGGGTGCGCCCTGGGGAAGGAAAAGCATTTGTCAAGTCAACACAGTGAGAGAGAGGAGTGTCCAGAAATCCAGACCCAGAGCGACATCTGTCAGGATGCTGTCAGGATGGATGCTCCCTCCCTGGGGGCTCCATAGGTATAATATGCAGACTACTGTAGTTTCCTTCTGGTTTGCCCTTTTAAAAACAAATAAAGGCCAATTTTTATTGTACATTGTACAGTCGGTGCTGCATAATTAATGTGTTTCAGAGTGATATGTACAGTCATAAATAAGAATGTGTCAAAAATATCATTTTCGATCGGCAGATCAAGGAGATCACTAGAACCCCCTGGCCTGCAGCAGAGATAGGGAAGGAGTGTGCATCCAAAATGGCACCCTGTTCGCTACATAGTGCACTATTTTCTATCAGAGCCTAGGTAATAGGGTGCCGTTTGAGATGCAGATGTAGAGGATGTGTCTTACCACTGCCCCCTGTGGTCCCTGGGGTCCTGTGCTCTCTGAGGTGCATGTGCAGGCTTTGGGGAGGGACGGGCACTTGGACTCCTCTCTCTGATAGGGAAAGGAAACAGACAGGCACAGTACGGCTGTGAGCTGAGATAACTGGAAGGAGTTGGCCTAAAGCACAGACCCAGTCCTCTGTGAGTCTGCAGAGATGCTGATTAAGCTGCAGGTACTCCTCTCAGCCAGTCTCATGTACGCAGACTTACAGACTTCATGACTGTAAGTCTCTCTGGGTAAGAACGTCTGCTAAACGACAGAAATGTAATGTAAATGTAAACTGAGGCAGGGTCAAGAGGTTACAGGATAATATGGCTTATTTGGATTGATTATATGTTATTAGTACCAGTAGTATTGTACATGTCAAGGAAGACAGTACAAGAGATGAAGTACATGCTCTCTAGTTGAGAGCAATATTTCAATAGAACAACTCAATCAGACAGCTGTTTTCATGCAACGATCCTGTGGACATTGGACATCATGAGCTTCCAGGAAGCCCATTGTTGAAAGTCCTACCCACAAGACATAAAATACATATTTTTTTTACATTCTGGGTGTCCAACCAACAGTGATCGTGGGGTTCTTAAAACAAAAGCTGCTTTTATTTGTTGAAACAGAGGCGTGTTCATGGATATCTCTGGTTGGACTAAAGTGAGAAAGTCCAGATCGAACAGGGACATTGAGGCATAGGACCCAGGGTCAAAACACCAGAGCCTGCAGTACAGTACATTAAAAACACCACGTAAAACGTGTAACGAGAGTTGATGTTGACAATGTCTTGACAGTTCGGCATTGTTTGTTGTTTGATTTGCGTATTGTTGAAGGCTGTTCATAGTTGTGATGCCTTTACAGTTGATAACCGTTGCTTCTCCGCTCTGGGGCAGCTGGGAAGGGTAACTGCAAATCAGTGACACACTCTCCTTGACAAAAGGTGTTTGAAGCTGCAGTTGGGCTATTTAAACACAGTCATTGTCCTATATTAACTGTCAGGACAGGAGACCATAATTATAGCACAGTCTAATTCATGTGCTTCACAAACATCCATTGGGAGTCTTCCAAGAGTTGGAATAATTTAAGAAGAAAAAACAGGTGGCTTAAAGTTTTCCTGTTCTATATAGACTGAATGACTAACTTTCCTTTTCCGCTGCCAGAAATGTACTTTGCACTGAGGCACGTTTTCACTCAGTGTTGTCTTTGACATATTAGATAGGACAACTGCATAGGGGTGGTAGAGTCAAGTGCTAATCATGCCAAGCTTTGCTGCTATCGCTTTTCCATAGGTTGAGTGAAATGTACTGAGCTCCCTGTCTGCACACTATTTGACCGTTGGGAAAATCAGATTTCTTCTTCATGTGTTCAGGATGATGTAAGCATGTCCTAAAGAGATGTGGGATGGATATGCATTTGTTAACAGCCATGTTAAAAGATGAGACAAGCAACAAGCATTAGAAGCATGTGTCTAATACGCACGTGCACACGCATATTCATGCTTGTTTTGCGTCTGTTAAGTTGTACCGCCCGCCTCTCCACTCCAGGGAGATCCAGATGTAGGGTGAAGTTGTCCCTAGACGCTGATCTGGGATACATTTTGCATTTCCCTCACTAATGGGCCTACGGTTAGGATTGGCGGAGAGGAAGCTGATCCTAGATCTGTACCTAGGGAAAACTTCAGCGGAGGTCCACTGAGGCTGCTCTTACTCACCATAGATGGAAGGTCACAGCATCTGTCTCTGCTTGTCCAGCCCAGGTTGCACACAATATCGAACATCTGGAGCTGGAACTGTGGAACAAGAAAAAAAGGAAAACAGTGTTAGTTACATGTGTCTTTGATACTTCCTCGTCATCCAAAAATACCAAGTAAGAAAACAAGGAGAGCGTGCAGACAGCGAGCCCACAGAGCATCAGATAAGGATAACTAAGGCACACTCCACTTGGGGTGCACTATGTTGGAGACAGTAAGCTTCAAGGCTTCCTCCTGTCACAACAGCACTCAGATACACAGGGGTACTATAACTGACTTGCTTGTAGGCTGCTAGGGCTGTAGGTCCATATGCTTTGATGTTGTATGACAGTTCACTTACAGTTGCAGTTTTCCCTTTGGAGCCGATGGACTTGGACATTTTGCCTAGAACTTGATAGCCATCCGTGGATGTTTTTCCAGCCTCCTTAATCTCCTTGTCCGCCACTTCTTGGCAGTCGAGGTTCAGCTTGACTTTGGTGGGGGAAACAAGGATGTGGAGCTGTAGAGAGAAAAGATTGAGAGTTGTTACATTCTTCGTCCAGGACATACTTTCGTCTAGGACCATCTGCTTTCTATCTTGAAACTCTAAAAATCATTGGGTTATCTGGGGTTGACAATAGAGCACAGATACACAGGGTGTATGTGGATGTGTTATTTCCTCTCATTGATGTGGTGTTCACTGACTCCCTCCAAAAGAGGTAGACCAGAAAAAAATAATAAGAGCACACCACACGATTTCAGCACATTCTGATAGCTAACACTGTAAGTTCTAAGGATGTACAGTGTCCTAAAAGTGTTCTCAGGATAAGATACATTATTATGGTTAAAAAAGTAATCTGTATTAATGTATTAACTGTTAATTACATATATTAGTCATATAGCATGTAATATCATCAGTAAGATGAATCTGGTGTGGTAAAACACAGTAGGAAATACCAGATCAGCTGTTTTCAGCAGAAAATGCTTGCCCAACAATTTATAGAGCACCGTCATCCATTCATCTGTCTCATTTACTTGTGGTGATGGGGTTAAAGTGTTTGTGGAGTACACCAAGGATGATTCTTTCCACCACTATGTTTCACAGAGTCAATGTATGCACTATGTTGCTATTTTTTACTCAGATCGACCTCACCACATCTTCTGATGATGTAGTTTTGTGGTGTGCCATAAGAAGTGCTCCCTTTTACTCTCTCCCTCTATTGCCAAGCTTTCAGAGGCTAGCTGCTGTTCTGGGGAGTTCATTCACATTCTTACTTAGCAGGCAACATGCTACTGTACCAAGCCATGGAGTCAGTCCCAGAGATTTGGCAACCACATGCGGTTTCATTCACTGTGGTCAAACATCGTTGGAAATGTACAGGATTCTTCCGGGAGAGCGAGCAGACAGACAGTGGAGCACGCTCAGCAATTTATGGAAACTGTGAGTCTGTTTTGGACAGCAAGAGGGTAAATATATACCCTAAGAAAGCAACTTGGAGAAATTATGAACTCCACAAGAGGAAATGACATCATCAGACAGCGCTCTATACAGCCTCAGACAGTCTCCAGTTCAGTTTAAGGCCAGTTAGCACATAACATTCTGAGAATCATATGTTTCTTAGCACTTGGTCAGAGCGTGGTTGTCCTATGGTTATTTTGCATACAACCTTCCCACAACTTTCTGGCAATGGTGCAGGATAGTTTCTTGGCTTTGAAACATTCTCAGCACAGTTAAGGAACTTGACAATTTTATTTTATTTTGTTGGTATTTCATTACTTTAACAGAACGTTTCCTAGAAGTTCAAACATGGTTACATTTCATTTCAATGTTGGTAATAATAATAATAATAATAATATGCCATTTAGCAGACGCTTTTATCCAAAGCGACTTACATGTTCTATGAACGTTCTCCAACTGGTTTGACATTGGGGATGTTTTCAAATAGTTTAGAGAATGTGAAGAAACAACGTTCTTCTGTGTGAATTTCAGTCCTTCAGCATAGCGGTTCCTACAGGTTCACTCATGGTTTATTTAAAGTCAGGTTCTCAAATTGTTCTGAGAACATTAAGAAAACTTTCCAACGTTGTAAGAATGTTATTTAAAAACATAAATTCTGTTCTCAGAACGTTAAGAAAACCTTCAGTAAAATCCACAACAAAACTTTAGTAACGTTCAGAGAACGTTCTTAGAATGTTATTTAAAAACATATATATTCTGTTCTCAGCATCAACAAAACTCTCTATATCCTCTATCTTGTTAAGTGTGTTTTTAAGTGTCTTGTTAAGTGTGTTGGCCGCGCCCACTAATTGGCCACAGCTGATCTTAATGAGTGCTTGTTTCCTTTGAAATGGGGTCTGTTTGAATTGGTCCTAATGAACAGCTTTGTATGCGTAAAAAAACATGGCATGCTAGCTCCATCCTGGTGGTGCAGTGGACTAATTCCATAGATAGACAACAGAAGATTATAGGTTTGAATCTCACTGATGCTGTGTCACAATAAAAAAATTAATGTTTGCATGATTAATGCCTAAGGAAATTAATTTCCATGTGTCCTATCTGTGCTTGGAGTTCAAAAAAGTTAACCCCAAATAAGCTAGCAGTGTTAGTAGCCCTTTCCTGCAGTCAAATGATCTCATGGGTGGAATGGTATTAATATTCTTAATAATTTCATAATTAATACACTTTTTTTTTTTTTTTATGCAGAAAATCAGGTGTTTCTACATCAAACAGTTTAGTTATATTTCATACTTCTGTGATGTATATAAAGTGTAATATTAAACTCAAAATGTAATACATTTCAATTCTATATCTGACATGGTACAGGTGTCTTCTTTTTTTAAGCCCATAATCATGTGTGTGAGGGTGTATCCTTTTGTTTCAAAGTAGATTTGTTTAATACTACCAAGAAAAACCTGGTGTGACCCTGATTTATCCCACTGCATTAACAGTCTTATTGAAACATTCACTAAATTGGTTTTTTAGGTTATAAAACTTCTCAGGAAAACTTTCAAGGAACCAGAGTAAAACGTTCTCAGAACCTCCCTGCAACCCCCCCCCCCCCCCCCCCCCCCCCCCAAAAAAAAAACCCCAACACTTTCAGTTTTACTGGTCAGGAAAGGTATGGCTTCGTTCCCAGATCCAATGAGAAACCAAAAAAGTATGTTCCCACAACTTCCAAGGAACCATATGTACTAGCTGGGAGACCTCTGAGTTAGAAACTATGACTGAGCGATTCAAACAGAGCAATACAACAAATCATTTTGTGACCAATAAAAATCTGATAGTTTAACCTGCAGAAAAGAGATGCCAAGAAGCTAGAATGACCAAAAGGTAAACCCTTGGTCAAGGTTTCCCTATCTTGGTAAAAATGTGGTGTGCAGCAAGCAGCACAGTTAAAGATGGCATTCCCTCTAAGCTCACTGACGTGACGTCCACGTTACAGGTTTCCCTTGACCTCCGGTCAGTCACTGGGACAGATTACACGGCACCTCCCTATGCCAGACCTTCTACCGTCCAAGTATGATCATGTCCTCTCTCTCTCTCTCTCGGACCTCATGCTCACCATCGTCTAAAGCGTATTAGTCTCTTCATACATACGTCTTGGGGGTTCTCTATCCATTTGGACTATATACTGTACAGATGTAGGATCTTAATTTGAGCCAGTTTACTAGAGCAGGAAAATAATCCTGCAGCAACAGGAAATGTGAATAATTATGTGGATTACAATTAATGGAAATTTTTGATACAGGGAAAATCAAGCCTTTTTAAACCTAAAATACACTACAAGTTTTAAATGTCCTGCAACAGGGTGATCAAATTAAGATCCTACATCTGTATGGTTTTCCTTTTGTTCATTGAGTTAAGCTTCCATGAAATCCATATGCCTTTGTTTGAGTATTGTTTGGTATGATAGGCATAAGACTGTTATTATATTTTCCAAACACAAGACAATGTTTTTCGATAATGAATTAAACCCTTGAAACGTTGATGTTGAATGGTGAAAAGCAGAGTCAAGCTGTTAGGGTATGTCAACACTCATTTATCATCTTTATAGACATTCATATTTGCATGATTCCTAACAACTATCAATCATGGTCTAAGTAACTGCTTTAGAGTTTGAATCCTGTGTCTGCTAAACCTACTGTAAACTTACCTAATCTCGGTTGAAAGAGAGGGTTACTGGCGAGAGAACCAAGCACTCAAACTGTAATCCGAGAAGGGCATCTAGAGAAGGTTTATACAGTAGTAGCAGTGAGGTTTTTTTTTACTGGTTGATAGAATGGTATTGTATTTCAACCAAATATACCCACAGGAGGCTGCGAATTCCTTCAGAATCCTCACAGGATTTGTCCTGTTGAGTAGAGCACGTCTGTTAAACCCATTTTAGGGAGTTTTGGATCGTCGCCGGTAACTAAGACCATTCAAACACTGAGTTAGCTCTTTCCTGACTGATTAGATGGATGTAAATCAGCCTTGCGTTGAAGCAGTGCAACCCGGTTGTTTAGAAGCAGAAAGCCTTCCTCAGCACACAACACTTTCATAATCCTGCCAGAGATGGCTAAGAAAACAAATCAGGACATCAATCAAATAAGGGAGTGAGAGTCTGGGTTCAAGCTAGCCTTTCTAAATTATGTTTGTTTATGCTGCATATGCTGGAAGCAGGGATGGAGAAGTGCGTTCTATAAGTCACTAGCTCTGTAACTGACAGTCATCTACCTCTTAAAAATACATGTGCAATTTGCCACTCTGCAAAATAAAGTGTCAACCTCTCCACTGACTGAGTGAAAATTACAAGTGAAAAGCGCTTACACTAATCAATCCCAGCTCATTACTGTCTGTTTATCTGTCTGTCTGTCTGTCTGTCTGTCTGACTGTCTGGCTGTCTGACTGTGAGAGTCACTGTGAGAAGTGTGGTTGAGGTCCTGTCCCCAGTGAGAGCAGTAAACCGCCTAGTCTCCTGTCATGTTCCATCCAGTAAAGGAGACATGCCCGGGGAGACAGACAGGCTTTGCCACTGATTGAAGCTGTGGCCAGTATCAGCTCTATCTGGCATATGCTCTCACTCTGGGACAGATACAGCATGTACACAACCCTGCTGGAACACTGGGACAGATACAGCATGTACACAACCCTGCTGGAACACTTGGACAGATACAGCATGTACACAACCCTGCTGGAACACTGGGACAGATACAGCATATAGGCCTACACAACCCTGCTGGAACACTGGGACAGATACAGCATGTACACAACCCTGCTGGAACACTGGGACAGATACAGCATGTACACAACCCTGCTGGAACACTGGGACAGATACAGCATGTACACAACCCTGCTGGAACACTGGGACAGATACAGCATGTACACAACCCTGCTGGAACACTGGGACAGATACAGCATGTACACAACCCTGCTGGAACACTGGGACAGATACAGCATGTACACAACCCTGCTGGAACACTGGGACAGATACAGCATATAGGCCTACACAACCCTGCTGGAACACTTGGACAGATGCAGCAGACAATCGTGCTGGAAGGTGAACCACAGAACAGAGTCACCTACCCAACAGCAGCAGCAAGAATTCCCCTGCGTTTAGCTACCAGTGGCAACAGAGGCAATACTAGGCCTGCATCCAACATCCAGGCAGAGAAACAGCAGCAGTGCCGAGAGAGAGAGAGAGAGAGAGAGAGAGAGAGAGAGAGAGAGAGAGAGAGAGAGAGAGAGAGAGAGAGAGAGAGAGAGAGAGAGAGAGAGAGAGACTCCCCCTAGCCTGGCATTCCACTCCCTCTCTGATGTCATTGTGTAATAGCTATAGCAGTGACCCAATATTTTCCAGACTAGCTCGCCAGCAGTGACTAGCAGTGCCTTTTAATGGTCTCCCCAAAAATACTTCTATTGAAAATGTGCAATAGGGTTGTCCACACCACCATCCCCTGCAGTACGTCATGTCCACAGCCCCTATGAGCACCCTGCTCTGACCTTATGGTAAAGGACGCATTCCCGCTGTTAGGAAAACTGCAGTAGAGGGGAGTGCTTCCTTATAGCTCTTAATACACAGACGGTCTACTACTCTCTGCCTATAGTCAATCTTTAGTGGTCTCTCTTCCTTTAGGCTACAACTCAGTTACTGAACTTAATGCTAATCCAAGTGATCAAATATGCCAACACCGCTGAATTCTCTGCCCCACTAGTTCCTCTTGGAAACCAACAACCAAGGAATTGGAATTTGGTCAACCTCCAACCTATGTGGAGTTGGACCTGGACCAAACATGACCACTTCAGCTTAGCATGAACCAGCCATTTGATTATCTTTAAAGTCAAAACAAACTGATAGAAGATCAATTGCCACTTCTATCTCTTGATTACTTTGAGAGGTTTTGATCACCATCAATAACAACAATCCATGCATCATGTAACATTGGGGTTTTACAATTTACAGCCAAAGACCATCTGTTTGCATATGCAGACATTTTTCAGCACACATCTGTAGCTGTATTGGAGGTACACCTCCTGTAATATATAACATATTTGGAATGCCAGGTATCCCTTCTCGGTGTCTGTATATCCTCGGGACATGCCAAGCTTACCGCAAGAACAAAGGAGCCAGCTGTGATTGATGTACCACACCTCCAATCTAGTTGCCAGGCCCAGGATGTTATATAATCCAGCCATTGACTTCACTACACCCAATATATTCCACCAATCCCAACAGCTACGCAGACAGGCAGTCAGTGATTACCTTGTGGAAGCTTCCATGGAAGATTCTCTTCACTTGATCATTGTCGAATGTGACCCTCTGGATCTCCCCCCTCGTATCCTTGTTATAATACGATATAGTTTGGCTAGAAGCTGAAAAGAGAAAAAAACAATTAGCGAGAGAAAGAAAGAGGTTACAGATAGCTCTCCAACGTCGCATTAGGACTTGGTGTCATGCAAAGCTCCTAAACTAGAAACAGGACTCCACCATCATCAATGGGCAGTTTATCATAAAGCACAAACAGATATGCTTTGTGATAGCTACATCATAAAACAACATGGTTGGGGCTTTACAAAGGCCAGCTGAAGATAGCTAGTACAGGATGCTGGATGTTGGAGGAGGCTGCGTATGGTTACTGAGGGAGACCAATGCAGCCCTGGCCTCTAGAGCCCATTACAATCCTTTCACTGATCCCATGAGAGGATATCATACAGAACCACAGAAAGATATCTACAGCTGCTGGATATCTTCTCCTCACACAACACATTTGGCAGCGTCCCAAATGGCACCCTATTCCTTATGTAGTGCACTACTTTTGACCAGGGCCCACTGTGTAGGGAACAAGGTGCCATTTGGGATGCAGCCCCAGTAACCTCTTGTCACCCTTATTGTAACCCTCCATCCTCAACTCCTTCAAATCCACAACCCCAACCATTCAACACAAGTCAAAGAGGCTAGAAAGCCTTACGATCGATGGTGACCCCGACTTCAGGCTTGTCGTCCTTGGTGGACACCTGCCAGATGTCAAAGGCCTCGGTGGGCGTGTCCGGGAGGAGACGGAACATCATGATGATGGTATAGGAGTGAGGTAGTCCGTCAGGGTGGATCTCTCTGTTCAAACCCCCACACAACCCCAACAATTAGACTGACCATTCAAAAACTACAAAATCAACTTACCATCAATATACATTATATATGTGATGGGATGCATAGACATTATGGACAGTATGTGGATAGAATATATAGTATATCTGAAGAATACGTGGATAGAATAGCATATGTACAGCAATAGTTGAATAGGATGGACTTGACTAGAATACAGTATATACATATGAAATGGATAAAACAGTATTACTCTATGCTTATGTAGCACTGTGATATGGATGATGTTGTTCCTTAGAGTAAAAAACAGAGGTAAAACTATGTGGAAGGTTAAGCTGACTGGGGATATTTGATAGGCCTACTGTGCGACTGATAAAGCGCTTAGAGATGTATGATGTAGGAGATAAACAGTGGAGTTGGATGTCTCTACGCTACGTGGGCTGAGTGAAACCAACAGTATGCCAGAACTTCAGATTGAACTAGATCACTTCTTAACACTTAACAGGATGTCGTAAATCTATTGACCTAGTTTAGAGGGGAAAGGGCTCTAACAGTCTGTCTGAACATAGTTGGGCAAGACGTGTCATGTTAGTGGCCCGGGCTATCTCCAAGTGCCAAACAGACGTTTATACTGTTTTTACAGGATGGCAAAGACCCATAAAAAGGTAACGTTAGAAAACATGTCATTTTTTAACAGTTGCCTCCCTGCATTGACCTCCATGTCCTCAGTCTTCCTCGACTTGAGCGTAGACAAGCTTTCAGTCTAAGAATATCATTATAATCTGAACAAACAGTATTAGGGTTGCGAAATTCCAGCAACTTCCTGGAATCTTCTGTATAAAAAGTATTGATGTTGTTATTCTGCAGACCAAATGCTACTGGAGGTGCTGCTTTCCTTCAAAGGTCGATCAAGCCATGACAAGGTCAGCTACAGCATATGGAATGATTAGAGAACATATTAACAAATCGTTCTCAGCTAAGTATGGTTTTGAGCTAATGTTTTCCAGCATGGTTGCCTTAGGGCATTTTATTGACATGTAATTCACCAGAGATCCACAGCAAGTGCTGGCAGGCTTTGTGCTGCAACTCAATTATCCCTTAAATCCATTAGCTCAAAAAAGCAGTGCAGACATACAACCACAAGATGTAGAATTGACCAATCCAAGCCAGAGACGATGGTAGATTTGCAAAATTCTGGCAACTTTCACAAAATGCACAGGTTATCCAGAAATCCTGGTTGGATTATTATTCCCTCCTGATTCCTGGAATCCTCAAACCTGGAATACCTGGGACTTTTTTGGGAAAATACCAGATTTTTCTAATCCAAGACAATGGTATCTCAGACTCACGTGGTGGGCTGGGTCAGGAAGGAGTTCTTATGGAGTCTGTAGGCTGTGTAGCTGTTGAAGGAGCCAGGTTCCATAGACACTCCCTTGATATAGCCATAGGTCTTCTCTGTCAGGTTGAACGCCTCCAGCATTCTGAAACCTAGAGCACAAGGTAAATAAGTCTTATTAAGTTCCAGGAGGTTCTATGAAGTTAAAGGAAGTTATAAGATGTTCTAGAAAGTTATAGGAAGTTCTAAGAAGTTCTAGAAAGTTCTAATAAGTTCTAGGAAGTTCTAAGACGTTGTAAGAAGTTCTAGAAATTCCTCATATACAATAATGAGGAAATAATGCATGCTGTTTCTGCAGTTGGTTCTAATTTGGGATGCACATAATTAATAATCTGAGCATACTTACCAGGTGATGTGAATCCGTTCAGGTAGATCAGGGGACAAGCTGTGAAGATAATATCAAAGATTAGCAACAGTTTCATTTGTTTCTAGAGTTTATTTTCATGGGAGATAAATGAATCGCTAACTGATAAATACTTTAAGTGTTATCCAACAAAAATAAAGACCTAAAAAGCTTACATGATGTTGCTGTTTCGCAAATGAAGGTCACAAGGTTGTCTTGGATAGTTGCAAAAGCATCAAAGTCGTCCACAATGAAGATGTGTCTGTCACTTGGCTTGCTACCAATGTTCTGCAGCTCAGCATAATCCACATCGGCAACACCAACCACAAACACACTGTAACCTGGAGGGGGAACACATTCACACACTCAGATAACCAACTATGTGTATTGGTGATTCTAATAAATTACAGATTGTGGATACTTCAATGACAACATAAATAACACAAGCGTTGTGGTTGATGGTTTGACTGGAAGATTCCTGTTTAGCAAACTCAGTAACCCTTACCAGCATGCTGCAGTGCGGCAGCGTTTCTCTTAACTTCATCCTGAGAACGACCGTCTGTGACAGCTACCACGACCTTGGGGACATTCCTCCTCATTCCATTTTCGGACGTGAATACCTTCTCCTTGACATGCTTCAGAGCAACACCTGATCAAGAACAAAGATAGGTCAATGAAAATTATAATTGAATTAGTCTGATATCGGATAACATTGAATAGACAACTATGTCTAATCAGTGGATGGATCTATAAAGAATAAGCATGTTTGGCTTGCATCCAATGAAACGTTAGCCTGAATGCCAGTCTGTTTGTGCTATAATGCCAACTCCTTGTCACTCATTGTCATGCCAGTGACACTAATGGATTTGTTAAGAGCAGAAACAGATCTGGGACCAGGCTCATGAAATGTGTTGGTGTCCATTGTAACGTTTACAACCTGAGACTAGTTGGTGGGTGCTGGGTTTGGGAAGAGGCTCACCGGTCTTAGTGTTTCCTCCTCTGTACTGAATGAGTTGTAGAGCAGCGAGAGCGCTGCCCTTGTCCGAGTAAGTGTTCAGCCTGAACTCTGTCTTTGCTTCGTCGCTGTACTGAACGAACGACACCTGTTTCCAAAGTAAACAGACATGAGCATTACGAGGAGTTGTAGTATGATGTCATAGCGTACCTGGTATTCTATGTAGTATGTTATGCTAAAACTATCAGCTATCACCAAGTTGACTAACAATTATAGTCTTACAACATGCTTTTACCACGATTTACAGCTCTATTTACAGCACTACACACCTGCATTCCCGTCGATCCGATGACGTCGAAGGCTCCAATCATGCTGAAGACGAACTGCACCACTTTCCGGAAGCTCTGTTCTCCGATACTCCACGAGCCGTCGATAAGGAACACCACATCTGCCTTGGCACCTTTGCACACTGAGGCAGAAGAAAAACAACTCAATGAACTGCACTAGATAGATTCCATGGCAGGCCTCAGACTCTGGGCTGCCTGCAACACCAGGACCGATAACAGAGAACGGCATCATAATTAGAGTCGACAACCTCGAAAATAAAAATGTCTGCAGGAATCTGAAAAACAAAACCATCAAGGAAAACAATGACATAATGAAGCTGTACATAGCAATTATTGGTTTAATTGATCATACGTTCCTGAAAAAAAGGAACACAACCAGAAACATTTGGTCACCATAAGGGCTGGAAATGAACTGCTCTTTAATGGCTTTCTCGCTTAGTACAAAAAAAGGAGTTGGCAAAACACAAGATACTGTCTGCCTGATGTGGTACAGCACATTTCTTTATCTATCGCAATCCCCATCCTCCAAGTCTGAGTCCATAAACAAGTTTTACACAATACCTTATCAAACAAACAGCTTCTTTGGATACCTATTTCTTTAAAGCTGATACCTGGTTTGGGGCTCAAATATTCCATAGCATTGGTGGATGTAGTGCTGTGTGGTTCTGTGTGGTTCAGCATGGTTCTGTGTGGTTCTGTGTGGTTCAGTATGGTTCTGTGTGGTTCTGTGTGGTTCAGTATGGTTCTGTGTTGTTCTGTGTGGTTCAGTGTGGTTCTGTGTGGTTCTGTGTGGTTCAGTATGGTTCTGTGTGGTTCTGTGTGGTTCCGTGTGGTTCTGTGTGGTTCTGTGTGGTTCTGTGTGGTTCTGTGTGGTTCTGTGTGGTCGGTCCTGTGTCATTATGGATGTGGTGGATATGGTGCCATTTCTGCTTACCTGCCCATGCAGGGGGGATGGTAGGAGGTGGTGGAGGAGTGGGGGGTAGTGTTGGCGCTTCAGTAGGCTTGACCACTTTAACAAAGAGACAACAAAGTATAAGTAAACATAAACAAAAATGGACAATTCACAAAACACCACTTAAAGTAACGTTTTGAAGACTCAAGATACTCACAGGTTCTCTCCTTGGTGCTGACTCCGGGGCCCTCCAGGTTAGGGGTCTGAACAAACACGGTGGCACTGTAGAGAGCGTCCGGGGAGAGACCCTCGAAGCAGTACTGGCTCTGAGCTGCAGTGATGGTGATCTCCTGCTGACCTTTACTGGAGGCTAGACAGAGACAACACAAAGAGAAATATGAGACATGTTGACATATGTTGAGAAGAGAAACATGTTGACATGTGTTGACTGCCGAGGCTGCTGCCTGAAACGTTGCTCCTCATAAAAATCACAGGTCTTCTCTGAGTACGCAAACAAGAGTTAATGGCATTCAGCTGGGGCTATTTGACAGTTCTGCGGTTAAACAATAATGTCAAAATACATGTAATATCTGTGTTATCACTCTACAAATTCAATATGAATTGTTTTGGGGAAAATGCAGAAAGATTTTCTAAATGTTGTGTTTTTGGTCTAATGAACCATGAGACCAAGACAATGGCCTTTTAAACTGTAATTATCCCCTCATTCACCTCTCCTAGGCTGACCCTTTCTGCTGAAGGCTCCCATAGGCATTGCTTAGTCATTTTTGGTCAGAGACGTGTGCCATGATCCTCGCTCCTCTACCACTGTTTGCATTCCACTTCAGACAAACTATTGCTGACTTGGAAGCTCTGTCTATATCTGATGCATCTTTAAAAGGTTGCTAGTTTCTCAAAACCTGGGGACTGTTTACCTTCGGGGACTGTTTACCTTCGGGGAGTGCTTTCTGCAGCAGCTGTCTTTCTCACACAAGCAAAGCCTGCTTTAGTTTGGAAATGTGTCTTGGGTAATGACTACCATGTCAATATTGAAATCCTTGCGATACTGCTTCATGTTTTTAACAGTTTATACCCCGGGTCTATGTGTGAATATGAAACTGATTGATTCAAAGGCAGACAGAAGTTAAAATGAAGTAATCTTTTCAGACAGAGACACAATTAAAACTTGGTTGTCGTATGCTTTCAGAAAACGCCACATCATGCATTCTCCTTTGAGGGATAAACACAGGGGAGGGCTAAGCATAAACAGTCGTGTGAATGTCTAGACTCAATCTCAACACGCAGCACAGTGCCATTCCAATGTTCTGAACACAGAGGAGGGTGTGGCTCTGATCCATGGAGGATCTATAGCATCTCTGGCTAGTGACTGACTAACATCAACCACATCATGTGTTGATGTCCCTTCAACATTCTCCTTTGTGGCTCCAGATTTTTAAATAAGGGAAGCATATACTCAATTGTAATGCAGCAATTTTTCAGGGTAGAAAAAGTATCTCATCTATCCAAGCTTAAAGGTGCAATCTGCTTCTAATGGTTGGCTGAAACAAGAACTCAGGATTGTGGCTTTAAGATTGAGACTTACGGTCCAGAGGGTTGAGCTTGATCCTGTAGGAAGTGGCAGCCCTGTGAGGACTCCACTTGATGCAGAACTTGTCGAAGCCAACATTGTAGGTCTCGATGTTGGTGACGTTCAGGTAGACTGTGGAGCAGAACACAAGAAGAATAGTCTCAGAGTGACTTCAAGACTGAGGCTACAGTGGACCCTGGTCAAAAGTACTCCACTATGTAGGGAATAGGGTGCCATTTGGGACTAAGCATGTATTCAGGTTAACATTGATGTTCAAACAAGGTGATATTTCTGTTATTCAAATACATACGTGTTGTTCCCTGTCCTTCGAGGGCCCCACTCATGCCAGCGCCATACTGGGAAAACACTTTGACATCGTAGGTGGTGCCAGGGAGCAGGTTCTGGAGGGTGTATGAGGTCACGTCACCCACGAACACATCCAAGCTCTTACTCTGATCTTCTTCTGCAGGCAAAACACAACACAATCTCTACTTTAACAACAGCAAAAGTACAACACAAACTCTACTCATAAAGGGAGGAGAGGAGAGGAGAGGAGAGGAGAGGAGAGGAGAGGAGAGGAGAGGAGAGGAGAGGAGAGGAGAGGAGAGGAGAGGAGAGGAGAGGAGAGGAGAGGAGAGGAGAGGAGAGGAGAGGAGAGGAGAGGAGAGGAGAGGTATGCTCTAAACCTGAAATCATCTCACTTGAAATGTAAAGGTGTGGCATGCAAATTATTCTGCATCATTACTTATTAATTGTTGTCAATACACTTTTTGTACTAGAAAGTGTGGTTGGTTGATATGGACAATGAAATATAAAACCCTGCATGACAAAACATGATATTGAGAAGTCCTGTAACTCAGGGTGTTATGGGTCCCTTCTCATGACTGCACAGACGTGGCCCAGAGTCTGATGTCATCTCACCCGCAGGAGTGTAGACCAGCTTGTATCCGAGCACCGGAGACGGCGAGGGGTCCCAGGCCACACGGAAGCGGGTGTACCACTCGTCCGAGATGCGCAGACTCAAGGGCTCCAGCAGGCCGACTATAACAGAGGCACAGCACCAGCAGAGAGAGCAGACACATGTCAACATTCAATCAGTCACGGCCAATACTCCCAACAACAAGTGAGGCCATGACCCCACTTCCAGGCTAGCTAGCCCCCAGTGCCGTATCTCACCACATTACCATTACATAGCCTGGGCTCCAAGTCTACAGCAGCCACTGTTGTTTTTCCTCCTCCTCTGTTTACGAAGACTATTATGAGTGGGGGGGGGGGGGTAGATCAGCTTTAATATTGCAGATAGATTGTAACTTCCATCAATGTAATTGTCTGCATCACTTCCAATCCCCCATATTTGTTTTCTCTCGCATATACAGTGAGGGAAAAAAGTATTTGATCCCCTGCTGATTTTGTACGTTTGCCCACTGACAAAGAAATGATCAGTCTATAATTTTAATGGTAGGTTTATTTGAACAGTGAGAGACAGAATAACAACAAAAAAATCCAGAAAAACGCATGTCAAAAATGTTATAAATTAATTTGCATTTTAATGAGGGAAATAAGTATTTGAACCCCTCTCAATCAGAAAGATTTCTGGCTCCCAGGTGTCTTTTTATACAGGTAACGAGCTGAGATTAGGAGCACACTCTTAAAGGGAGTGCTCCTAATCTCAGTTTGTTACCTGTATAAAAGACACCTGTCCACAGAAGCAATCAATCAATCAGATTCCAAACTCTCCACCATGGCCAAGACCAAAGAGCTCTCCAAGGATGTCAGGGACAAGATTGTAGACCTACACAAGGCTGGAATGGGCTACAAGACCATCGCCAAGCAGCTTGGTGAGAAGGTGACAACAGTTGGTGCGATTATTCGCAAATGGAAGAAACACAAAAGAACTGTCAATCTCCCTCGACCTGGGGCTCCATGCAAGATCTCACCTCGTGGAGTTGCAATGATCATGAGAACGGTGAGGAATCAGCCCAGAACTACACGGGAGGATCTTGTCAATGATCGCAAGGCAGCTTGGACCATAGTCACCAAGAAAACAATTGGTAACACACTATGCCGTGAAGGACTGAAATCCTGGAGCGCCCGCAAGGTCCCCCTGCTCAAGAAAGCACATATACAGGCCCGTCTGAAGTTTGCCAATGAACATCTGAATGATTCAGAGGAGAACTGGGTGAAAGTGTTGTGGTCAGATGAGACCAAAATCGAGCTCTTTGGCATTAACTCAACTAGCCGTGTTTGGAGGAGGAGGAATGCTGCCTATGACCCCAAGAACACCATCCCCACCGTCAAACATGGAGGTGGAAACATTATGCTTTGGGGGTGTTTTTCTGCTAAGGGGACAGGACAACTTCACCGCATCAAAGGGACGATGGACGGGGCCATGTACCGTCAAATCTTGGGTGAGAACCTCCTTCCCTCAGCCAGGGCATTGAAAATGGATCGTGGATGGGTATTCCAGCATGACAATGACCCAAAACACACGGCCAAGGCAACAAAGGAGTGGCTCAAGAAGAAGCACATTAAGGTCCTGGAGTGGCCTAGCCAGTCTCCAGACCTTAATCCCATAGAAAATCTGTGGAGGGAGCTGAAGGTTCGAGTTGCCAAACGTCAGCCTCGAAACCTTAATGACTTGGAGAAGATCAGCAAAGAGGAGTGGAAAAAAATCCCTCCTGAGATGTCTGCAAACCTGGTGGCCAACTACAAGAAACGTCTGACCTCTGTGATTGCCAACAAGGGTTTTGCCACCAAGTACTAAGTCATGTTTTGCAGAGGGGTCAAATACTTATTTCCCTCATTAAAATGCAAATCAATATATAAAATTTTTGACATACATTTTTCTGGATTTTTTAGTTGTTATTCTGTTTCTCACTATTCAAATAAACCTACCATTAAAATTATAGACTGATCATGCCTTTGTCAGTGGGCAAATGGACAAAATCAGCAGGGGATCAAATACTTTTTTCCCTCACTGTATATATATATATATATATATATATATATATATACATACACATATACAGTGGGGGAAAAAAGTATTTAGTCAGCCACCAATTGTGCAAGTTCTCCCACTTAAAAAGATGAGAGAGGCCTGTAATTTTCATCATAGGTACACGTCAACTATGACAGACAAATTGAGAAAAAAAAATCCAGAAAATCACATTGTAGGATTTTTAATGCATTTATTTGCAAATTATGGTGGAAAATAAGTATTTGGTCACCTACAAACAATCAAGATTTCTGGCTCTCACAGACCTGTAACTTCTTCTTTAAGAGGCTCCTCTGTCCTCCACTCGTTACCTGTATTAATGGCACCTGTTTGAACTTGTTATCAGTATAAAAGACACCTGTCCACAACCTCAAACAGTCACACTCCAAACTCCACTATGGCCAAGACCAAAGAGCTGTCAAAGGACACCAGAAACAAAATGGTAGACCTGCACCAGGCTGGGAAGACTGAATCTGCAATAGGTAAGCAGCTTGGTTTGAAGAAATCAACTGTGGGAGCAATTATTAGGAAATGGAAGACATACAAGACCACTGATAATCTCCCTCGATCTGGGGCTCCACGCAAGATCTCACCCCGTGGGGTCAAAATGATCACAAGAACGGTGAGCAAAAATCCCAGAACCACACGGGGGGACCTAGTGAATGACCTGCAGAGAGCTGGGACCAAAGTAACAAAGCCTACCATCAGTAACACACTACGCCGCCAGGGACTCAAATCCTGCAGTGGCAGACGTGTCCCCCTGCTTAAGCCAGTACATGTCCAGGCCCGTCTGAAGTTTGCTAGAGTGCATTTGGATGATCCAGAAGAGGATTGGGAGAATGTCATATGGTCAGATGAAACCAAAATAGAACTTTTTGGTAAAAACTCAACTCGTCGTGTTTGGAGGACAAAGAATGCTGAGTTGCATCCAAAGAACACCATTCCTACTGTGAAGCATGTGGGTGGAAACATCATGCTTTGGGGCTGTTTTTCTGCAAAGGGACCAGGACGACTGATCCGTGTAAAGGAAAGAATGAATGGGGCCATGTATCGTGAGATTTTGAGTGAAAACCTCCTTCCATCAGCAAGGGCATTGAAGATGAAACGTGGCTGGGTCTTTCAGCATGACAATGATCCCAAACACACCGCCCGGGCAACGAAGGAGTGGCTTCGTAAGAAGCATTTCAAGGTCCTGGAGTGGCCTAGCCAGTCTCCAGATCTCAACCCCATAGAAAATCTTTGGAGGGAGTTGAAAGTCCGTGTTGCCCAGCGACAGCCCCAAAACATCACTGCTCTAGAGGAGATCTGCATGGAGGAATGGGCCAAAATACCAGCAACAGTGTGTGAAAACCTTGTGAAGACTTACAGAAAACGTTTGACCTGTGTCATTGCCAACAAAGGGTATATAACAAAGTATTGAGAAACTTTTGTTATTGACCAAATACTTATTTTCCACCATAATTTGCAAATCAATTCATTAAAAATCCTACAATGTGATTTTCTGGATTTTTTTTTCTCATTTTGTCTGTCATAGTTGACGTGTACCTATGATGCAAATTACAGGCCTCTCTCATCTTTTTAAGTGGGAGAACTTGCACAATTGGTGGCTGACTAAATACTTTTTTTCCCCACTGTATACATATATATACGCATATACATATATACATACATATCCTTTAAAATATATATATTTCCCTTTATTACTTTCCAACCCCACCATTCCTTCCCTAATTGGAGTAAACTAGTGAACAACAACGCTTAGGCCTCTACTTCATGCTTATACATACTATATACATTTTATGGACACAGTCAATAATTATATTTTGTTTGTTTTTACTCCTGAACTTCCTCCGATCATTTTCATGATGTCCATCTGGTATGCTTCTATATGTCATATCTTTCTAACTGTGCTCTTTCACAAAAGCTAACAATATATAACCTATATACTTATTATGGACACAGCATGTCTTACATTAGTTATCTTGTTGTTATTAGCTGTTGTTATTGGTCCCATCCTTCAGCTCCATTCAACACCTCCCATCTATCTCTTAACCATCCATATTGGATTTCTATTTGCCATATATTTTTCAACTGTACTGTGATGTTTTACAAAAGTTCTGAACCTTTCTATTCTCATTGTTTCTACAGTTTGTGAATTGAAAATAAACATTTTTGCTAAAAGTATTATTATATTATTGATCGATTGACTATGACTTTTCAGATCATCTGCAGGGTCAGCTCCATGCAAATATTGCAATCCTTCAGCCATTCTTGGACCTGTGTCCAGAAACAAGCTTCAAATGGACAGTACCAAAACAAATGATCTAATGATTCTGTCTCTTCACAGCCAAATCTGCAGAGCTGGGAAGATTGTATCCCCCATACAAATAACATTCTATTGGTAGCAAGAATTTTATATAATCATTTAAATTGAAAAATTCAAAGTTTTGAATCCGGCGTCGTTTTGCGTATCAGTTCATAAACACTATGCCATGGAATCGGTACATCAAAAATCTCTTCCCAACTATTTTGCAATCTATATGGGACGGCTGTCAATCTTTTGGTCCTTAAATGAAACTGGTAAACTTTTTTATTTTTCACAATTTTCTTTAACCAATTATGTTCTTTAATGCAAGGCCGACAGACAAGTTCCTTACTTTTTCCTCCTTCCACTTTCCTCTTCCATTTTTGTGGTAATGCTGCAATTATTTGGTTGTAATTTTGGGTAGAGCAGACATTTCCATATGTTTTTGTTAGCTGCATGTGCGACATAACTCCACCATTCCTAACGATAATATAATTTATGAAGATTATACCTTTTTTAAACATTTTCTCAAAGAATAACGTTTTTTTTATCAATTAGTATATTTGAGTTTAACCACAATATTTGTTGCAATATTTGTTCTGTCATTTCTGGAGGATTAAATTGAAATTGCAACCAACTTTCTATGGCTTGTTTTAGAAATAGTGATTTTTTGGGATATTATTTCCTTTTCAAATACCTGAAAGTGAGTTTCATGGTCTTGCTGAGGGAGCTTAACTGGGTAGTGGGTAGGTTGGTTTGCGTGGGTGGTGACAACCCATTGAAGCGAGGCCCATCCACAGTGGTGCTTCTGTTCAAGCCAAGACATAACGTTTCTATTGTTTGTGTAACTCGGGGCTTATGTTCACCAGTCGTTGAGCTTTCCTAGTTGCCTCTACTGTGTATTCCCAATCTTACGAACTCTTCAAACTGATTTTTTTTGGGAATCGGTTGGCTATAGCATGGCTCTTGTAAGTATTTTCCACTCCTGTGCATAGTTCTCACTCCCAGCTCAGCTCATCAGGCTTGGAAATTCTGTCCAGCTAGCTGGACCGTCATGTGTACAGTATACTAGACTGAACACTTCCCGAACACTTTTCCTAACTGCGTTACCTGTGCGTCCGGGCCCGTTCAGAGATGGCCCTGCTCCATCAGCATAGATGGCTTCCACAGTAATGCTGTAGGGAGTGTCAGGAAGCAGGTTCTGCAGGATGGCATTGTTTCTGTTGCCAGGAACAACTGTCTGTGAGGAAAAGTACCACAGAGAACTCAGTTAGTTCATTTTAAAAAATGGCTTCACAACACACACAAAGGATCATAATTATGGAATTACTTATGGAAGCTAAGTGTTAATTCTAGGCTAACTCCTACATCACTGCAGCAGAGGTAAAAGAAGGCTATTAATGGAAAGTTCCTTGTCCTCTTGGAACACTGGAGGATTAGCTCTAGTGACTTTTCATTTATAACTCAGTGCTAAAGGACTCATTCATTTTTCTCTCGTATAGAAGCATTTGTTATGTCACACAACGGCTGCCTTACTAGGGAATAATGATGCAGTGCTGCTATGCTGCCCTAAAGTGCTCCAGCTCTGTGTGTAAAGTCATTAATAATCCAAGGTAATGTAACAAAATGTTTCCAGTGATAATGTTGATCTAACTGAGCCTTTAATTCGTCTTATTAATCAGCAGTTATTTGCTGACACTGAAGTATGACTTTGTAGGCCTACAGTGCTTTGGCAGTAGTAACACATTGAACAGTAAGTGTGGAGGAGTGTATTTGATTTGCCACTCAGCCAAATATAATATATATATATATATATATAATTATAATATAAAAAGAGACATGTTTAGGTCATGAACTCACTCGTCCCTCGAGTCAACCTCAAAGTTCCCTGCTACGTGAAAGTCTGTCGAGAGACACTATGGATGCATACCAAATGGCACCCTATTCCCTATATAGTGCACTCCTTTGGACCAGAGCCCTGTGGGTGCCATTTGGGATCCAACCTATGAACTCACAAACTCAGTGATGGGGTCTCCTGTGGTGGGGGCGTAGGCGATCTTGTATTGCTGCACCAGGCCCTCCGCGTGGTCCCAGACGATGGTAAGAGTATTGGTGGTGGCATCAAACACCCGCAGGTTCCTAGGTCCAACACGGGGTACTGCAACAGCAACAATACTGGGTTACACTCAAACACATGTACCTAGCAACGCTGCACACCCCATGATCCTCAAAAAGCCACTGTACATATCTACCACAATTACCTCATACCCCAGCACATCGACTAGGTACTGGTACCCCATGTATATAGCGAACGTATCTTTACTCATTGTGTATTTCAAATCAAATCAAATCAAATTTTATTTGTCACATGCGCCGAATACAACAGGTGTAGACCTTACCGTGAAATGCTTACTTACAAGCCCTTAACCAACAATTTTTTGGGCCGTCCTCTGACACGCCTAGTATATAGGTCCTGGATGGCAGGAAGCTTGGCCCCAGTGATGTACTGGGCTGTACGCACTACCCTCTGTAACGCCTTAAGGTCGGATGCCGAGCAGTTGCCATACCAGGCGGTGATGCAACCAGTCAGGATGCTCTCGATGGTGCAGCTGTATAACTTTTTGAGGATCTGGGGACCCATGCCAAATCTTTTCAGTCTCCTGAGGAGGAAATCTCGTTGTCGTGCCCTCTTCACAACTTTCTTGGTGTGTTTGGACCATGATAGTTTGTTGGTGATGTGGACACCAAGGAACTTGAAACTCTCGACCCGCTCCACTACAGCCACGTCGATGTGAATGGGGGCGTGTTCAGCCCTCCTTTTCCTGTAGTTTACGATCATCTCATTTGTCTTGCTCACGTTGAGGGAGAGGTTGTTGTCCTGGCACCACACTGCCAGGTCTCTGACCTCCTCCCTATAGGCTGTCTCGTCGTTGTCGGTGATCAGGCCTACCACCGTTGTTTCGTCAGCAAACTTAATGATGGTGTTGGAGTCGTGCTTGGCCATGCAGTCCTGGGTGAACAGGGCGTACAGGAGGGGACTAAGCACGCACCCCTGAGGGGCCTCCGTGTTGAGAATCAGCATGGCAGATGTGTTGTTGCCTACCCTTACCACCTGGGGGCGGCCCGTCAGGAAGTCCAGGATCCAGTTGCAAAGGGATATGTTCAGTCCCAGGGTCCTTAGCATAGTAATGAGCTTTCTGGGCACTATGGTGTTGAACGCTGAGCTGTAGTCAATGAACAGCATTCTCACATAGGTGTTCCTTTTGTCCAGGTGGGAAAGGGCAGTGTGGAGTGCGATTGAGATTGCGTAATCTGTGGATCTGTTGGGGTGGTATGCGAATTGGAGTGGGTCTAGGGTTTCCGGGATGATGGTTTTGATGTGAGCCATGACCAGCCTTTCAAAGCACTTCATGGCTACCGACATGGGTGCTACGGGGCGGTAGTCATTTAGGCAGGTTACCTTTGCTTTCTTGGGCACAGGGACTATGATGGTCTGCTTGAAACATGTAGGTATTATAGACTCGGTCAGGGAGAGGTTGAAAATGTCAGTGAAGACACTTTTCAGTTGGTCCACGCATGCTCTGAGTACACATCCTGGTAATCCGTCTGGCCCCGCGGCCTTGTGAATGTTGACCTGTTTAAAGGTCTTGCTCATATCGGCTACAGAGAGCGTGATCACACAGTCATCCGGAACAGCTGGTGCACTCATGCATGCTTCAGTGTTGCTTGCCTCGAAGCGAGCATAAAAGGCATTTATCCCGTCTGGTAGGCTCGCGTTACTGGGCAGCAGGGAATGCAAATAGTCTGCATAGCCATTTGATTGATTAGCTGTTCAGGAGTCTTATAGTATAAGCAAGTATGTGTGGAAGCATGAGTAACACTCATGTAACACTCATGAGTCTAGAGTATCAATGTAAACAGGAGTCGCATGAGTCAGTAGTATCAATGTAAACAAGAGTCGCATGAGTCAGTAGTATCAGTGTAAACAACAAAGTCAGATTGATTTGATTCAAGTCTTACATGTTTTGCCGTCTCCCTTCACTGGTGGGCTCTCCCCGTCCGCATACAGAGCCAGGACGCTGATCGAGTACGGCGTGTCGGGAATGAGCGAATCCAGGAACGCGTTGTTGATGTTTCCCGGGACCAGGACCTTTGGAGAGGTCATGAGACATAAATCACAATGATGGCTTCCCAGAGAGGAAGATTGGTTTGCATCCCAAATGGAACCCTATTCCCTATTTAGAGCACTACGTTTGGCCATGGCCCATAGGGCTCTGGTCAAACATAGTATTGGGAGTCATTTGGGATGCACCCTTGAAGAAGGATTCTTATTAAAATGACCTTTTTCATGCATTACATACTGTTCTGGCACTGCTAACGTACATAATGAGCTCACTGTTAATCCCTGCTAGTGTCTTCTTGGAGGGAGCCTAGTGCCAAAGGTTAACATGAAGTACTAACAAAGCCCTGAAGAGGTTTAAAATGCTAAGAAGTGATTGATAAACAAATTAGTGTATTGAAGCATCCATCGTCCAGTAAATGCAAAGACGTAACCAACACCATGAGACCAGTGCTCTGTCATTGGACAGGCCTCAATGTGCATCTATCTCACCCCTGTTTCTAACAACAGTGGAGCCCAGTCTCGTCATATCACCAGGGTCATCACTGTCACTACCCAGCACATTATCTATTAGCTTGTCTGGGGGATGACCATTACATCACGCTAAACACAGCTGCTCTTTAAAGTAGTCTACCTTCATCTAAAGCTTATCTGAGGATTAAACTGAAAATCTCCTAGTTGAAAGAGTGATGGACAAGACATGCAGGTAGCTGAGGTATATGCTAATGTATATTTTCTGTGAAAACCACTCAATGGAGCCTGATTGAGAATAGACAAGAGGTTAGCTGAGCTGGCGAATGCTTTGGTAAAAAAAACCTGTCTCTTAGCATGAGGCATTTTTAAGGCCTACTGCTGCATCAAAGAACATTCTAATAAAAACAGCCTCATTATCCTCCAACCAAGGCCTTATGCCCTCCAAAACTTCAAACGTAAGAATGTTCATCTATGTCTATCACAGATGTGCATGTGCACATTTTCCGAACTCCTAGTGGTACAGTAAAAGCTGTTTGTAGGCCAATTAGCTCTATCTTTCTCCTGTAATCCAAGATATGTGCATCGCATCAGTGCATAAAATCAATGCTGATAGACAGAGAATTAAAAGCCCAAAAGTCTGGATTTCCCCATTAGCCTAATGAACACCAACCTCATTACTAAGGGAATGCCATTTGTGAGGCTTCTACACAGACTTCCTATCAAACTCTTCGAGAGAGGGTTTTCGATATATTCATCAAACGTAGAGCCCAGCAACCCTACTCTACACTTTTATTGCTTAAGTGGACTTTCCCTTTCCCTCTGAGTGGTCTGAGCAGGGACAGTGAACGTGCCTCCCCTCTTAATATAATGACAGGCTCTGGTTAAAAGTGGAGAGAGATCGTTTTTATGTCCCAAATGGCACCCTATTCCCTATATAGTGCACTACTTTTCACCAGAGTCCTATGGGTCCTGGTCAAAAGTAGGGCACTACATAGGGAATAGGGTGCTATTTGGGATGCAGCTAGTGAACTTACTGTCTCAGCGGGTCTGTCTCCAGACAGAGGTGCATAGACGATGCGGTACTGCTGCACCTGGCCAGAGGCGGGCTCCCAGCGCACGTTCAGGCTGTTGGTGGTGGGGTTGTAGACCTGGATGTTCTTAGGGGGGGTTCGTGGAACTGGGGGTCAAAGAGGGTAAGAGAAAGTCAAAAGTGGAGAGGGCAATTCTATATACACCAATTGCTATGTTGACTTAACAACCTAACAACAACCTCATAAACACAAAACAACAACTCTGATTTTACTCTACAAACAACAACTCTGATTTTAATCTACAAACAACAACTCTGATTTTAATCTACAAACAACAATTCTGATTTTACTCTACAAACAACAACTCTGATTTTACTCTACAATGCCTTACTTAGAAAGCTTGTCCATTCAAAGAGAACTAGCTAAGTAAAGATACCACAGCAAAATGTGAGAATGAATAGACTGCTACGTTTCAAACAGGACGTAGCTCAGTAAAAGCATGGAGGGAGGGGGGACTCAAATACTGAGGGAAGCAGTCTCCAGTAACCAAATGATTTTATAGTGTCTATGTGAAGAGAATGTACAGAGAAGTAGCATAGTTTGGGTTTATGCAAAAGGCTCTTAACTTCCCTTTTAAACTAAAACAGATGTGCATATTCCTCTGGCATTCAGCACGTTAGCCCAATAAAGCTTAGATGCAGTAGGTAGACTCAGACCCAGCCACCTTATTCATAAGTAAAAACATTCCAAGTAGAACCTGTTCATCCAACAGCGAGGTTCATTCTATACTAAACACATGCATATGGTGTGTTTAGGAAGATTAGTCTGTCAAACATACAGTATCTTCCCATTTGGCCGGGCATCAGATATGAATCAACGATCATAAATGATGATGGCGCCGGAGAAGATGGCTGCCGTTTTACAGCCCTCTAACCAATTGTACTATTATGTGTGTTTTTTCGCGTTATTTGTAATTTATTCTGTACATAATGTTTCTGCCATCGTCTCTTATAACCAAAAAGAGTTTCTGGATCTCAGGACAGCGATTACTCACCTCGTATTGGACGAAGATTTTTTATTCAACGAGGCGGCCGCAAAGGATATCCTACAGACACCCGACAAGGACCAAATCCCCGTCATTCGCAAGAGAAAGAGACGGAGATATCGTGGACGTAGGTCGGGGTGCCTCGTAAGGATCTGACGGCGAGCGAGTAAACTGCCTCTTCCATCAATCCTATTAGCCAATCTTCAATCATTGGAAAATAAATTAGATGACCTACGATTACGCTTATCCTACCAACGGGACATTAAAAACTGTAATATCTTATGTTTCACTGAGTCGAGGCTGAACGACGACATGGACAACATACAGCTAGCGGGCTATACGCTACATCGGCAGGATAGAACGGCTGACTCCGGTAAGACAAGGGGTGGCGGTCTGTGTATATTTGTAAACAACAGCTGGTGCACAAAATCAAATCCTAAGGAAGTCTTGAGGTTTTGCTCGCCTGAGGTAGAGTACCTTATGATAAGCTGTAGACCACACTATTTACCAAGAGAGTTTTTAACTATATTTTTCATAGCTGTCTATTTACCACCACAAACCAATGCTGGCATTAAGATTGCACTCAATGAGCTTTATAAGGCCATAACTAAACAGGAAAACGCTCATCCAGAGGCAGCGCTCCTAGTGGCTGGGGACTTTAAAGCAGGGAAACTTAAATCCGTTCTACAGTGGGGAAAAAAAGTATATAGTCAGCCACCAATTGTGCAAGTTCTCCCACTTAAAAAGATGAGAGAGGCCTGTAATTTTCATCATATGTACACGTCAACTATGACAGACAAATTGAGAGAAAAAAATTCCAGAAAATCACATTGTAGGATTTTTAATGAATTTATTTGCAAATTATGGTGGAAAATAAATATTTGGTCACCTACAAACAAGCAAGATTTCTGGCTCTCACAGACCTGTAACTTCTTCTTTAAGAGGCTCCTCTGTCCTCCACTCGTTACCTGTATTAATGGCACCTGTTTGAACTTTTTATCAGTATAAAAGACACCTATCCACAACCTCAAACAGTCACACTCCAAACTCCACTATGGCCAAGACCAAAGAGCTGTCAAAGGACACCAGAAACAAAATTGTAGACCTGCACCAGACTGGGAAGACTGAATCTGCAATAGGTAAGCAGCTTGGTTTGAAGAAATCAACTGTGGGAGCAATTATTAGGAAATGGAAGACATACAAGGCCACTGATAATCTCCATCGATCTGGGGCTCCACGCAAGATCTCACCCCGTGGGGTCAAAATGATCACAAGAATGGTGAGCAAAAATCCCAGAACCACACGGGGGGACCTAGTGAATGTTCTGCAGAGAGCTGGGACCAAAGTAACAAAGCCTACCATCAGTAACACACTACGCCGCCAGGGACTCAAATCCTGCAGTGCAAGATGTGTCCCCCTGCTTAAGCCAGTACATGTCCAGGCCCGTCTGATGTTTGCTAGAGTGCATTTGGATGATCCAGAAGAGGATTGGGAGAATGTCATATGGTCAGATGAAACCAAAATATAACTTTTTGGTAAAAACTCAACTCGTCGTGTTTGGAGGACAAAGAATGCTGAGTTGCATCCAAAGAACACCATACCTACTGTGAAGCATGGGGGTGGAAACATCATGCTTTGGGGCTGTTTTTCTGAAAAGGGACCAGGACGACTGATCCGTGTAAAGGAAAGAATGAATGGGGCCATGTATCGTGAGATTTTGAGTGAAAACCTCCTTCCATCAGCAAGGGCATTGAAGATGAAACGTGGCTGGGTCTTTCAGCATGACAATGATCCCAAACACACCGCCCGGGCAATGAAGGAGTGGCTTCGTAAGAAGCATTTCAAGGACCTGGAGTGGCCTAGCCAGTCTCCAGATCTCAACCCCATAGAAAATCTTTGGATGGAGTTGAAAGTCTGTGTTGCCCAGCGACAGCCCCAAAACATCACTGCTCTAGAGGAGATCTGCATTGAGGAATGGGCCAAAATACCAGCAACAGTGTGTGAAAACCTTGTGAAGACTTACAGAAAACATTTGACCTGTGTCATTGCCAACAAAGGGTATATAACAAATATTGCGAAACTTTTGTTATTGACCAAATACTTATTTTCCACCATAATTTGCAAATAAATTCATAAAAATTCTACAATGTGATTTTCCAGAATTTCTTTTCTCATTTTGTCTGTCATAGTTGACGTGTACGTATGATGAAAATTACAGGCCTCTCTCATATTTTTAAGTGGGAGAACTTGCACAATTGGTGGCTGACTAAATACTTTTTTTCCCCACTGTACCTCATTTCTACCAGCATGTTAAATGTGCAACCAGAGGAAAAACAACTCTAGACCACCTTTACTCCACACACAGAGACGCATACAAAGCTCTCCCTCGCCCTCCATTTGGCAAATCTGACCATAACTCTATCCTCCTTATTCCTGCTTATAAGCAAAAAATAAAACAGGAAGCACCAGTGACTCGGTTAATAAAAAAGTGGTCAGATGACATAGATGCTAAGCTACAGGACTGTTTTGCTACCACAGACTGGAACATGTTCCGGGATTCTTCAGATAGCATTGAGGAGTACACCACATCAGTCACTGGCTTCACCAATAAGTGCATCGATGACGTCGTCCCCACAGTGACCGTACGTACATACCCCAACCAGATGCCATGGATTACAGGCAACATCCGCACTGAGCTAAAGGGTAGAGCTGCCGCTTTCAAGGAGCGGGACTCTAACCCGGATGCTTCTAAGAAATCCTGCTATGCCCTCCGACAAACCATCAACCAGGCAAAGAGTCAATACAGGACTAAGATTTAATCGTACTACACCGGTTCTGACGCTCGTCAGATGTGGCAGGGTTTGAAAACTATTACAAACTACAAAGGGAAGCACAGCCGCGAGCTGCCCAGTGACACAAGCCTACCAGACGAGCTAAACCACTTCTATGCTCACTTCGAGGCAAGCAACACTGAAGCATGCATGAGAGCACCAGCTGTTCCGGATGACTATGTGATCACGCTCTCCGTAGCCGATGTGAGTAAGACTTTTAAGCAGGTCAACATTCACAAGGCCGCAGGGCCAGACGGATTACCAGGACGTGTACTCCAAGCATGTGCAGACCAACTAGCAAGTGTCTTCACTGACATTTTCAACATGTCCCTGACTGAGTCTGTAATAACAACATGTTTCATGCAGACCACCATAGTCCCCGTGCCCAAGGACACTAAGATAACCTGCCTAAATGACTACCGACCAGTAGCACTGACGTCTGTAGCCATGAAGTGCTTTGAAAGGCTGGTCATGGCTCACATCAACACCATTATCCCAGAAACCCTAGACCCACTCCAATTTGCATACTGCCCCAACAGATCCACAGATGATGCAATCTCTATTGCACTCCACACTGCCCTTTCCCACCTGGACAAGAGGAACACCTACGTGAGAATGCTATTCATTGACTACAGCTCAGCGTTCAACACCATAGTGCCCTCAAAGCTCATCACTAAGCTAAGAATCCTGGGACTAAACACCTCCCTCTGCAACTGGATCCTGGACTTCCTGACGGGCCACCCCCAGGTGGTAAGGGTAGGTAACAACACATCTCACAAGCGGTACCAGAGCGCCAAGTCTAGGTCCAAAAGGCTTCTCAACAGCTTCTACCCCCAAGCCATAAGACTCCTGAACAGCTAATCATGGCTACCCGGACTATTTGCACCTCCACCCCATCTTTTTACGCTGCTGCTACTCTGTTTTTATTTATGCATAGTCACTTTAACTCTACCCACATGTACATATTACCTCAACTAGCCGGTGCCACCGCACATTGACTCTGCACAGGTACCCCCCTGTATATAGCCTCCCTACTTTATTTCTCAACACTTTTTTGTTGTTGTTGTTTTATTTTTGTTGTCATTTTCATTGTTGGTTAAGGGCTGTAAGAAAGCATTTCACGGTAATGTCTACACCTGTTGTATTCGGCGCATGTGGCAAATAAAATTTGATTTGATTTTAAATCTGTGTCTCTGAAACTGACAAGGACTTAGCGAGTATAAAAAGAATGCTTGACTCCCATTGGACGTTTTCGTATTAGCTTTGCACAATCAATGGAGTCTCTGGAACCCCCTGTGGAATCATTATGCACCATATGCTCTGTAATACTGATATGCTCCACTAGAATCACAGCTTTCCAATTCACTTCTCTGGGATGGATTTCTGCTGACTGCACATGGCAAACCATTTGAGCAGAAACAAAATCGATGCACACAGCAGGGTATAAAAACACAGACAGAGGCAGGGCAACCCAACCAGCAATTATTATTATTATTATTATTTTTATTATTATGGTGAGATAAACTACCCCTTTGTTCCATCTAAAAGTTATGGGGGAAGGGGGTTGTGCAAATGCTATCTGGTTCAGAGATTTGAATGCAGAATGTTCGATTTGCACTCAGTTTTGTTAAACGTTGACCTTACATTTACATTTACATCATTTAGCAGACGCTCTTATCCAGAGCGACTTACAAATTGGTGCATTCAACTTATGATAGCCAGTGGGACAACCACCTTTTTTTTTTTTTTTATATATATATATATATATATATATATTTTTTTTTTTATGGGGGGTGGGGGAATTACTTTATACTTTTCCAGGTATTCCTTAAAGAGGTAGGATTTCAAGTGTCTCCGGAAGGTGGTCAGTGACTCCGCTGTCCTGGCGTCGTGGGGGAGCTTGTTCCACCATTGGGGTGCCAGTGCAGTGAATAGCTTTGACTGGGCTGAGCGGGAACTGTGCTTCCGTAGAGGTAGGGGAGCTATCAGGCCAAAGGTGGATGAACGTAGTGCCCTCGTTTGGGTGTAGGGTCTGATCAGAGCCTGAAGGTAAGGAGGTGCCGTTCCCCTCACAGCTCCGTAGGCAAGCACCATGGTCTTGTAGTAGATGCGAGCCTCAACTGGAAGGCAGTGGAGTGTGCGGAGGAGCGGGGTGACATGAGAGAACTTGGGAAGGTTGAACACCAGACGGGCTGCAGCGTTCTGGATAAGTTGTAGGGGTTTAATGGCACAGGCAGGGAGCCCAGCCAACAGCGAGTTGCAGTAATCCAAGCGGGAGCCTGGATTAGGACCTGTGCCTCTTTCTTACAGCCCTTAATAACAATGTTTCCCTATGAGGGTATGTATTATCCTGAGACCTATCTACCGGTATCTTGATATCTGAGTTCAAACTTTGGAAAAACCGAACAGGCTCCAAATTTGAGATGCCACTGAATCAAACCAACTGAAAAGAGCACGTCTTTATCCCGATGAAAACAAAATGGATGATTGGAATTTCGTTTGTTGATAACTTACGTGTCTTTCCAGTCTCTGACTGGCGCAGGCCCTCTCCCTCGGGGTAGACGGGGACCACGGTGACGGTGTACGGCGTGTCTGAGAGAAGGTTCCTCAGGATGGTATTGGTGGTGCCACCAGACACTTGCTCCTGTTCACAGAGAGGTGTTTTTGAGTTGCATCAGTGTTTATACCATAGATTGGATGAATCCTATGGCATCCATATTAGGAAGTCGTCAGATTTTAGGTATATAAATTCATTTTTATTTTTAAAAAAGTATTTATAATTTTTGTACTTTTTCTCCCCAATTTCATGATTATGATCTTGTCTCATCGCTGCAAATCCCCAATGGGCTCAGGAAAGGCGAAGGTCGAGTCATGCGTCCTCAGAGACATCCCTTAACCTGGAAGCCAGCTACAGGTATATAAATTCCTAATATGGATGCCGTAGTCGACTCAAATCTGATTGGTCAAGAGATTCCCTGTGCAGCATCAGAAGTTAAGGCATGGATAGTTGGTGGTCTTACCATGTCCTCGGCTCCGCCAGAGGCAGGGACGTAGAAGAGGCGGTACTGGCGCACGTTGCCCTCCGCTGGCTCCCAGCGCACCTTGAGGGAGCTAGTAGAGGGGTCGGTGACCTGCATGTTCTTCACCCCGCCCAACGCCTCTGACAAGACACAAAACAAAAAGTTTAGCATCAAATCACTTATTCCATTTTGTAACACTTTTTTCTTTCTTCACTGTACTCATTGTCCCTGTATTTTCTATTTTGTTCAGTCATGACTTACTTGTCTTTCCATTTTCAGAATTTCTCTTCCCTTCAATATCGCCGTACATAGGCACCAATGTCACCTTGTACAATGTGTCTGGCACAAGATTCCGCAGAACGGTGTTGGTTGACATCCCAGAAACCGTAGTCTGTGAAAAATAGTTATCAGATTAGCAAAAATGTTAAGTAAAACCACCCTACTAAAGATAAAGAGGTAGCTTATTCAAGTATTCAACCTACATGTTTATAGTGCTCAAAGTGATCAGTTTAGTGAGTCTTCAAATATCGCTTCTATACCGTATGAGAGAAAGTGTTGTTTTTGTACCTTGAGTTCAGGTCCTCCTGCTAGCGGGGCGTAGATGACAGTGTACTGGCGCACATCCCCCTCAGCTGGCTCCCAGCGTACCCTCAGGGAGTTGGTTGTCGGGTCAGTCACCTGCAGGTTCTTCACTCCACCCAGAGGCTCTGAGGAAGAAGAAGACACACATCAACATCACTCCAAGTAAATGTCAACACTAATGTCCTTAAGCCGTTACTGAGTAACATTTAGTCTGATATGGAAGCATACAGCTGTAATATGGGATATGGAAGCTTGTAGCTGTCAAAAAGCTGTCATTTCAAAATGAAACATTTTGACAGCTATATGCTTCCATAGCATGGGTTTCATGAACTAAAGTAAGTATTGAAATGCTTCACTCACTTGTCTTTCCCATCTCAGACTGCAGTATGCCCTCCACGTCTGGGTAGACTGGGACAACAGACACATTGTATTGGGTATCAGACTCCAGGTTACGCAGGATAAGGTTGGTGGTGCCCCCTGAGACTTGCTCCTGTTCAGGGCAAAGTGAAGATCAATGTTAGCACTGTATGACAATTACACAACCTGATTATAGTGTAAACATGACTGGGTTGACAGTAAAAGGAATGGAGAGATTAATAGGAGACGTACCATTTGCTCCTTCCCATCTGGCTGGGCCACATAGAAGACCTTGTAGTTGCGCACGTTACCGACAGCCGGGTCCCAGCGAACAGACAGACTGTTGATGGTGGGGTCGATGACCTTCAAGTTCTTCACTCCCCCCAAAGGGTCTGAGGCAGAGGAGACAATGTTATAGCATCACACTTACTGTACGAGCTGTTTGAACAAGTAGCAGACACATTTTGTTTTTAAGAATAAAAAATATATGTTTTTATTGTCACATACACTGGATAGGTGCAGTAAAATGTGTTGTTTTACAGGGTCAGCCATAGTAGTAAGGCGCCCCAGGCGTAAATTAGGGTTAAGTGCCTTGCTCAAGGGCACATTGACAGATTTTTCACCTTGTCGGCTCAGGTATTCAAACAAGCAACTTTTTGGTTACTAGCCAAACGCTCTAACCGCTAGGCTACCTGCCACCCTTATCATTTAATTTCACCCTGTCATTTCAACTCATTTAATTTCACCCTGTCATTTCAACTCATTTAATTTCACCCTGTCATTTCAACTCATTTAATTTCACCCTGTCATTTCAACTCACTTGTCTTTCCATTCTGAGACCTAGAGAGACCCTCCATCTCATGGTAGACAGGCACCACTGTCACAGTGTATTCCGTATCTGGATTCAGTTCCTTCAGAACAGTGGTGGTCGTTGTTCCAGACACCTGGTCCTGTTCAAGAAAGAAGAAGAAAGAATATCGGTCAGAATCAGAAAGCAATGTTGACTAGCTTTAGGGGAATACAACAGTCGAGGCTTGTGTCAAATGAGGGCCTCATTGTAATGAATTTCACCCTCCACCAGCCTCCATTGGAATAGACCATTCTCAGAGAATTAGGAGGGGTGTTGTGTTGGTGAGACTACCGGGACGTACCACGTCCTGCTCCCCGCCTGCAGTTGGGATGTAGACAACGATGTACTCGCGCACATTCCCCTCAGCTGCGTCCCAGCGCACGTTCAGGGTGCTGGTGGTGGGTTCAATGACCTGCAGGTTCTTCACGAAGCCCAGGGGCTCTGAGCACCAAGAGGAAACAGAGTAGCTTAGCCATCACGTTGATTTGAAAACCATTATATAGATTGTATGTCTGCAGATGAGCTAATATATTAATCTCTTACACTATACAATTTGCCAGTGATAATCACTGGTCAATGACAGCACCATGTGCAATAATTAAGTGATACTGCCTGAGAAGCCGGTGTTTGGAGGATATATTGGCACAGGTGTTGAACCGTGCCAATATATCCTCCAAACACTGGCTTCGAGGGCATTATCTTTTTTATACAATGGGTTACCAACATATTCAAATATTTTGATGAATTTATTCATACTATTTCATCCTTCCACAAGATATAGTCCCGACACAAATGTAGGGTTGCTACCCAAGCCGGCTGGTCGTTCATTCTATCGGTTCGCTTGCCAGAGACGCGACCCAGTCATTGAGTCTTTTTCTTCTAAATCTATGGATGTGACAATTGTTTGTTCTAAATGTTCCATTGATGGCTGGCAACGTTCTTATCCCTTGCTTGCTAGCTAGCCAACTTCAGCTAACACAATCACGTCAAAGAGTGCAGCCAGAATAACGGCAAAGTAGCTGCATTTGCGTTTGTTTAAGCGCTTTTCTAGTGAATTTATTTGGGATATATCCATAACAATGAGCTAATGAGGAGCAATTTCTCCTGGCATAGAAAATTAGCTCTCTCGCCAGGACACTGTTCAGAGGAGCTAGCAAACTACACAGCTAACACAATTACAGCAAATTAGCTGCATTTCGTGTTTTCTATTGGCATTTCTTTGTATACAATATATCCATACAAATTATGCTGATTCAACTGGCTGAGAAAAGCGGCCAGGCTGTCTGTCTCGTCCCGACTCCCGACACATTCATTACTATTGGACAGCTGGAGATCGAATTTCAATATTGAAACAATGTTGCAAATATTGGAGGGACAGGCAGCAAGGTTAATACAAATCTCTGCTGTTGAAAACCAAATGCTAGTCTAAAATAACTGGGACATAATGTGGAGATCAAGTTTATAAATTGCCTGGCTGGGATGATGAGACAGTGGATTGTGCAGTGAGATGGAACAGAGTAAATAGGCATTTTAACATCATAGCCTTAGCCTGTGGTAACTTGTTGAATAGACACCAGCAGGAACGCAGTTTTAACCATCCAGGATTAGACCCACCTGTTTATATAAAACCAGATAACGGGACAGTTGGAAAAGATATCGGGACAGTTGGAAAAGATATCGGAACCCCTTGCAAGTTTGCCTTCTCGTCAGGTCACTCGTCGACACTGACTGTTAATTAAGGAGATCGCATTGCATATCAAACACTAGGTTAGAAGCTAGCTAAATAGTTTGTCGCTAGCAAACCTGCGAATGTGTCAACTGAATAAAAAAATATCAGTTGCTAAAAACAGCTGGTCAAACTAGAACATGTGGGAGGATTTGCAGCATAGCGGCGGAGGGGACAAGAGAAATTAATGTTCATCACTCACTACGTTAGGTCATCAGATGCTCCAAGAAAATATGTCTCTGCATAAACAAATCTGTGCTAGCTAAGTTTTTTTCCTCGTTGGACCTGCGTTTACAATGTATCCAATTTCAGTTTGTGTGGTTGTTGGTTTAGCTTTCTGTAACTTTGTAGCAAGTACGGTCTGCATATGTAGGTGCATATTGCATCATGATTGCAAGGTGTCCCGATATCTTTTCCAACTGTCCCGTTATCTGGTTTTAATGTCCATTCTAGAATGTCCTTCCATTCTGGAATGCCCTTCTGATTGGCTGGAAGGGCATTCTAGAATGGACATTAAAACCAGATAATGGGACAGTTGGAAAATATATCGGGACAGTTGGAAAAGATATCGGGACAGTTGGAAAAGATATCTGGACACATTGCAATCATGATGCAATATGCAGGCCGTTCTTGCTACATATGCAGGCCGTACTAGCTACAAAGTTACAGAAAGCTATTGTATTCAACAATGCTGTGGTATAAGTCGTCGTTACTCACTTGTTGTTCCATCCTTGGCCTGGGTCTGACCATCTCCCTCGGGGTACACTGGCAGCACAGTGACTGTGTATTGTGTGTTAGGTGAGAGGCTCTTCAGAACTGTGGTGGTTGTGCTCTCTGAGACTTGCTCCTACAAAGTAGAGATAGATGGTGTCACACCAACAGCAGCTCCAACAGACATACTGGAACACTATGGCTGCATCCCAAAGGACACCCTATTCCTCACATAGAGCACTACTTTGGACCTGAGCTGGTTAAAAGTAGTGCATTATATAAGGAATAGGTTGCCATTTTGGATGCAGATGGTATCTCATACACCAGATCCACAAGATAAGGCTCATGTACCACAGTTGTTCTGTGGTCTGTAATACTACATGAACTACACTTCTACTGCTCCAATTTATCTCACCCTTATGTGGAGTTTATTTTGATGGGAGGTTTGATTGAGAGTGAAAGCTATGGCATGCACCACACGGAACAGGCCAATTCTAAACAGATTAACCAAACAATACTTTCTTGTTCCACATAAGTGGGCGAAACCAAAAAGTCAATTGCATTATAGTTGTGATCACAGAGCTATTTCACAGTCTGTTAGCGCCCACCCAGCCTGAACTCCATCACCGCTAGGCTACAACAGCACGGCGGCATGACACTTTGCTGCTGCCTCTCATCATGCTTACCACAGCAGGCTAACCGCTAACGCTAAGTCCTTAACGTTCACTCCTCAACGCTAACTTCTCAAGTCGGGCTGACGAAATCCCCACTCCACAAAGTACGGCATGGAATGAAACACAATTCTTTCTTCCCACAGGATTGGAAGCCATTGTGTTAGGCTGGCACAAATGTCACATCACGTGTCAGTGTTGAGTAATAGGCCAATGGAGAGGCAGTGTGGTTAACAGTACAGTAGAATACTCACAATGATCTCAAGGCCTCCTGCGACGGGAGTGTAGATTACTTTGTAGCCCTGCACGTTGCCGTCGGCCGCGTCCCAGCTGGCGGTGAGGGTGGTGTGGGTAGGGTTGGTGACCTGCAGATTGGTCACTCCACCCAAAGGCACTGGGGAAAAAAATAACATGACTTTAAGTATGGTATTATGATTATGTGATTATTGGGGGAAATCAAGTAAACCATTATTTTATGTTTCTCTGTTTATATTTCCAATGTTCCCAAGGTTTTGCTCGCCTGAGGTAGAGTATCTCATGATAAGCTGTAGACCACACTATTTACCAAGAGAGTTTTCAACTATATTTTTCGTAGCTGTCTATATACCACCACAAACCAATGCTGGCACTAAGACTGCACTCAATGAGTTGTATAAGGCCATAACTAAACAGGAAAACGCTCATCCAGAGGCAGCGCTCCTAGTGGCCGGGGACTTTAATGCAAGGAAACTTAAATCCATTCTACCTAATTTCTACCAGCATGTTAAATGTGCAACCAGAGGAAGAAAAACTCTAGACCACCTTTACTCCACACACAGAGACGCATACAAAGCTCTCCCTCGCCCTCCATTTGGCAAATCTGACCATAACTCTATCCTCCTGATTCCTGCTTATAAGCAAAAACTAAAGCAGGAAGCACCAGTGACTTGGTTAATAAAAAAGTGGTCAGATGACGCAGATGCTAAGCTACAGGACTGTTTTGCTAGCACAGACTGGAATATGTTCCGGGATCCTTCAGATAGCATTGAGGAGTACGCCACATCAGTCACTGGCTTCATCAATAAGTGCATCGATGACGTCGTCCCCACAGTGACCGTACGTGCATACCCCAACCAGAAGCCATGGATTACAGGCAACATCCGCACTGAGCTAAAGGCTAGAGCTGCAGCTTTCAAGGAGCGGGACTCTAACCCGGACGCTTACAATAAATCTTGCTTTGCCCTCCGACGAACCATCAAACAGGCAAAGAGTCAATACAGGACTAAGACTGAATCGTACTACAAAGACTCTGACGCTCGTCGGATGTGGCAGGGCTTGAAAACTATTACAAACTACAAAGGGAAGCACAGCCGCGAGCTGCCCAGTGACACAAGCCTACCAGACGAGCTAAATCACTTCTATGCTCGCTTCGAGGCAAGCAACACTGAAGCATGCATGAGAGCACCAGCTGTTCCGGATGACTATGTGATCATGCTCTCTGTAGCCGATGTGAGTAAGACTTTTAAGCAGGTCAACATTCACAAGGCCGCAGGGCCAGACGGATTACCAGGACGTGTACTCCGAGCATGTGCTGACCAACTGGCAAGTGTCTTCACTGACATTTTCAACATGTCCCTGACTGAGTCTGTAATACCAACATGTTTCAAGCAGACCACCATAGTCCCTGTGCCCAAGGACACTAAGATAACCTGCCTAAATGACTACCGACCCGTAGCACTCACGTCTGTAGCCATGAAGTGCTTTGAAAGGCTGGTCATGGCTCACATCAACACCATTATCCCAGAATCCCAGGAAACCCTAGACCCACTCCAATTTGCATACCGCCCCAACAGATACAAACAGATACAAAATTTAACACCAAGATGGCGTAGCAGTGCGGTCGCTTTAATTTTTCGTCCTGTGTAAATATCCCGTTTCTTGTTTTTTTGTCTATATTTCTCAATTTTTTACTTTCATTCTTTAACTAAATATACTTTCCTGCAACCCGCCTCACCCAACGTGGAAAGGATTCTATTATTTCTTTATAACTTTCATCAAGAACCGTAAGCTGAAAATAGTGGCTACCTGTTATTAGTCACCGTTAGCGTCTTCACCATTGTCCGTGGCCTACACTATCCACCAGCCAGCTCTAGCTCTAGCCTGGACAATTCGTCGGCCAGTCTGCACAGCGTGCTATCGACCCAGCGTGCTATCGACCCAGAGCTTATTGGACTTTCTGCCGCAATCACTGGACCCTAGCGCCGGATCATCACAACCAGCTAGCTAGCTGCAACCTGTTGTTGGCTGATTACCATTACCATTGCCCTATAGCAAGCACCAGTTAGCCTTGAGCTAGCCTCAGGCCCATCTCCCGGCTATCTACCTCTCTGTCAACCGGACGGGACCTCCTAGTGTTGACACTGAGCCCCGCCGATCCAACACGACTGGTTTGCCGACGAAATAGTCTGATGTGGTTTCAACAGGCTTCCCGTTGCGACGACCACGAAGATCCATCTGCCAGCCCCGGCCCGCTAGCACACGCAAACTACAACTGTGCTCCCTGCTAGCTGTGCTGAAGCACCAATTTGAACTGCTCTCGGACTCACAGCTGATGCCTGCTGGACTGTTCCTTTACACGGTACCCTGTCCTGTTTATTCTGTTTAGTCTTAGCCCAAACGTTATCGCTATTTCCAGTTGTGTCTTAGCTCTCTCTAATAACACATGTGACTGCTTTATGCCTCTCTCCCATGTCAATTATGCCTTGCCTATTGCTGTTTGGGTTAGTTCTCATTATACAATTTCAATGTAGAACCCCTAGTCCCTCTCAAACTGCCTCATATAGTTCCTTTGTTCCTCCCCCCATACACGCCGAGACCAGCTCAATCGATGCCTCCAATGATGCTATCTCTTTCATTGTTACCCAACGCTTAGGGTTACCTGAACTGTACTCATATCCTTCCATATCCTTTTCTGTACATAATGCCCTGAATCTTTTCTACAACGCCCGGAGAACTGACCCCTTTATTCTATGTACCCAACGCACTAGAAGACCAGTTCTTAAAGCCTTTAGTCATATCCTTATTCTAGTCCTCCTCTGTTCCTCTGGTGATGTAGAGGCTAACCCAGGCCCTGCAGCCCCCAGTATCACTCCTACTCCCCAGGAGCTATCATTTGTTGACTTCTGTAACCGTAAAAGTCTTGGTTTTCTGCACATAAATATCAGAAGCCTCCTTCCTAAGTTTGAGTTATTCACTGCGTTAGCACACTCCGCCAACCCTGATGTTCTAGCAGTGTCTGAATCCTGGCTTAGGAAGGCCACCAAAAATTCTGAAATTTCCATCCCCAACTATAACATTTTCCGTCTAGATAGAACTGCCAAAGGGGGTGGAGTTGCAATCTACTGTAGAGATAGCCTGCAGAGCTCCATCATACTATCCAGGTCTGTGCCCAAACAGTTTGAGCTTCTACTTCTAAAAATCCACCTTTCCAGAAATAAATCTCTCACTGTTGCCGCTTGCTACAGACCCCACTCAGCCCCCAGCTGTGCCCTGGACACCATATGTGAATTGATTGCCCCCCATCTATCCTCAGAGTTCGTACTGCTTGGTGACCTAAATTGGGATATGCTTAACACCCCGGCCATCCTACAATCTAAACTAGATGCCCTCAATCTCACACAAATTATCAACGAACCTACCAGGTACAACCCTAAATCCGTAAACATGGGTACCCTCATAGATATCATCCTGACTAACTTACCCTCTAAATACACCTCCGCTGTCTTCAACCAGGATCTCAGCGATCACTGCCTTATTGCCTGCGTCCGTAACGGGTCAGCGGTCAAACGACCACCCCTCATCACTGTCAAACGCTCCCAAAAACACTTCAGCGAGCAGGCCTTCCTAATTGACCTGGCCCAGGTATCCTGGATGGATATAGATCTCATTCCGTCAGTAGAGGATGCCTGGTTGTCCTTTAAAAATAATTTCCTCTCAATCTTAAATAGACATGCCCCATTCAAAAAATACAGAACTAAGAACAGATATAGCCCCTGGTTCTCCTCAGACTTGACTGCCCTTGACCAGCACAAAAACATCCTGTGGTGTACTGCATTAGCATCAAATAGCCCCCGCGATATGCAACTTTTCAGGGAAGTTAGGAACCAATATACACAAGCAGTTAGGAAAGCAAAGGCTATCTTTTTCAAACAGAAATTTGCATCCTGTAGCACTAACTCCAAAAAGTTTTGGGACACTGTAAAGTCCATGGAAAATAAGAGCACTTCCTCCCAGCTGCCCACTGCACTGAGGCTAGGAAACACTATCACCACCGATAAATCTACAATAATCGAGAATTTCAACAAGCATTTTGCTACGGCTGGCCATGCTTTCCACCTGGCTACCACTACCCCGGCCACCAGCTCTGCACCCTCCGTTGCAACTTGCCCATGCCCCCCCCCCCGCTTCTCCTTCACACAAATCCAGACAGCTGATGTTCTAAAAGAGCTGCAAAATCTGGACCCCTACAAATCATCTGGGCTAGACAATCTGGACCCTTTCTTTCTAAAACTAGCCGCCGAAATTGTCGCAACCCCTATTACTAGCCTGTTCAACCTCTCTTTCGTAACGTCTGAGATCCCCAGAGATTGGAAAGCTGCCGCGGTCATCCCCCTCTTCAAAGGGGGTGACACTCTAGATCCAAACTGTTACAGACCCATATCCATCCTGCCCTGCCTTTCAAAAGTTTTTGAAAGCCTAGTCAACAAACAGATCACCGACCATTTCGAATCCCACCGTACCTTCTCCGCTATGCAATCCGGTTTCCGAGCTGGTCATGGGTGCACTTCAGCCACGCTCAAGGTCCTAAACGATATTATAACCGCGATCGATAATAGACAGTACTGTGCAGCCGTTTTCATTGACCTGGCCAAGGCTTTCGACTCTGTCAACCACCGCATTCTTATTGGCAGACTAAATAGCCTTGGTTTCTCAAATGACTGCCTCGCCTGGTTCACCAACTACTTCTCAGATAGAGTTCAATGTGTCAAATCGGAGGGCCTGTTGTCTGGACCTATGGCAGTCTCTATGGGGGTGCCACAGGGTTCAATTCTTGGGCCAACTCTTTTCTCTGTGTATATCAATGACGTCGCTCTTGCTGCTGGTGACTCTCAGATCCACCTCTACGCAGACGACACCATTTTGTATACATCTGGCCCTTCATTGGACACTGTGTTAACAAACCTCCAAACGAGCTTCAATTCCATACAACACTCCTTCAGTAGCCTCCAACTGCTCTTAAACACTAGTAAAACTAAATGCATGCTCTTCAACCGAACGCTGCTTGCACCCGCCCTCCCGACTAGAATCACTACTCTAGACGGGTCTGACCTAGAGTATGTGGACAACTACAAATATCTAGGTGTCTGGTTAGACTGTAAACTCTCCTTCCAGACTCACATTAAGAATCTCCAATCCAAAGTTAAATCTAGAATCGGTTTCCTATTTCGCAACAAAGCCTCCTTCACTCATGCTGCCAAACATGCCCTCGTAAAACTGACTATCCTACCGATCCTTGACTTCGGCGATGTCATTTACAAAATAGCCTCCAACACTCTACTCAGCAAATTGGATGTTGTCTATCACAGTGCCATCCGTTTTGTCTCCAAAGCCCCATATAATACCCACCACTGTGACCTGTACGCTCTTGTTGGCTGGTCCTCACTACATATTCGTCGCCAAACCCACTGGCTCCAGGCCATCTATAAATCACTGCTAGGCAAATCCCCTGCCTTATCTTAGCTCATTGGTCACCATAGCAACACCCACCCGTAGTCTGCGCTCCAGCGGGTATATCTCACTGGTCATCCCCAAAGCCAACACCTCCTTTGGCCGCAATTCCTTCCAGTTCTCTGCTGCCAATGACTGGAACAAATTGCAAAAATCTCTGAAGCTGGAGACACTTATCTCCCTCACTAACTTTAAGCATCAGTTGTCAGAGCACCTTACCGATCACTGCACCTGTACACAGCCCATCTGAAATTAGCCCGCCCAACTACCTCATCCCTACATTGTTATTTATTTTGCTCATTTGTACCCCAGTATCTCTATTTGCACATCATCTCTTGCACATCATTCCAGTGTTAATACTAAATTGTAACTATTTTGCACTATAGCCTATTTTATTGCCTTACCTCCATAACTTGCTAAATTTGCACACTGTATATTATATGTATTTCTGTTGTATTTTTGACTTTGTTTTGTTTTACCCCATATGTAACTCTGTGTTGTTGTTTTTATCGCACTGCTTTGCTTTATCTTGGCCAGGTCACAGTTGTAAATGAGAACTTGTTCTCAACTGGTTTACCTGGTTAAATAAAGGTTAAATAAAAATAAAAATAAATCCACAGATGATGCAATCTCTATTGCACTCCACACTGCCCTTTCCACCTGGACAAGAGGAACACCTATGTGAGAATGCTATTCATTGACTACAGCTCAGCGTTCAACACCATAGTGCCCTCAAAGCTCATCACTAAGCTAAGGATCCTGGGACTAAACACCTCCCCCTGCAACTGGATCCTGGACATCCTGACGGGCCGCCCCCAGGTGGTAAGGGTAGGTAACAACACATCTGCCACGCTGATCCTCAACACGGGGGCCCCTCAGGGGTGCGTGCTCAGTCCCCTCCTGTACTCCCTGTTCACCCATGACTGCATGGCCAGGCACGACTCCAACACCATCATTAAGTTTGCAGACGACACAACAGTGGTAGGCCTGATCACTGACAACGACGAAACAGCCTATAGGGAGGAGGTCAGAGACCTGGCCGTGTGGTGCCAGGATAACAACCTCTACCTCAACGTGATCAAAACAAAGGAGATGATTGTGGACTGCAGAAAAAAAAAGAGGACTGAGCACGCCCCCATTCTCATCGATGGGGCTGTAGTGGAACAGGTTAAGAGCTTCAAGTTCCTTGGTGTCCACATCACCAACAAACTATCATGGTCCAAGCACACCAAGACAGTCGTGAAGAGGGAACGACAAAGCCTATTCCCCCTCAGGAGACTGAAAAGATTTGGCATGGGTCCTCAGCTCCTCTAAAAGTTATACAGCTGCACCATCGAGAGCATCCTGACTGGTTGCATCACCGCCTGGTATGGCAACTGCTCGGCCTCCGACCGCAAGGCACTACAGAGGGTAGTGCGTACGGCCCAGTACATCACTGGGGCCAAGCTTCCTGCCATCCAGGACCTCTATACCAGGCGGTGTCAGAGGAAGGCCCTCAAAATTGTCAAGCCACCCTAGTCATAGACTGTTCTCTCTGCTACCGCACGGCAAGCGGTACCGGAGTGCCAAGTCTAGTTCCAAAAGGCTTCTCAACAGCTTCTACCCCCAAGCCATAAGACTCCTGAACAGCTAATCATGGCTACCCGGACAATTTGCACTGCCCCCCCACCCCCACCCCGTCCCCCTTTTTACTCTGCTACTACTCTGTTTATTATTTATGCATAGTCACTTTAACTCTACCCACATGTACATATTACCTCAATTACCTCGACTAGCCGGTGCCCCCCCACATTGACTCTGCACCGGTACCCCCCTGTATATAGCCTCTCTACTGTTATTTTATTTTACTTTTGCTCTTTAGTTATTTGCTTTTATTTTTTTTGCTTAACACTTTTTTTATTTGTTTTACTTTGCATTGTTGGTTAAGGGATTGTAAGTAAGCATTTCACTGTAATGTCTACACCTGTTGTGTTCGGCGCATGTGGCAAATAACATTTGATTTGATTTGATTTGAAATCACTTTTCGAGATTGCATAGTACCACTTCATTTGACATTGCTACTTACGTGTCTTTCCATTCTCAGCCTGCCGTTTCCCCTCTCTGACGGGGTAGATAGGTAGCACTGATATTGTGTAAGGTGTGTCAGGCTTGAGGTTCCTCAGAACGATTGTGGTGGTGCTTCCAGGTACTTGCTCCTGTTTACAAGCAGGTGGAAAGTGATTTTAATTAGATGACTGATTACAGATTAAATGCTTTATCGAAGTGTATTAGCTTAAGGCTATTTATGAGGTCATAAGGTGAAAGAGACCTACCATTTCCTCTGGTGTTCCTCCAGCCACAGGGGCAAAGAAGATCTTGTACTGACGCACAGCTCCGTCCGCTGGGTCCCAGTCCACCTTCAGAGAAGTCATGGTGGGTTCAGTCACCTTCAGGTTTTTCACTCCACCCAACGGTCCTGGTGAGGAAAACAACAAAATATAGAAAACCTGTTCTATGTCCAGTAGAACTCTCTTATCTCATTGATAATCATCTTACATTGCAAACTCAGTTTACAAAAGGTTATTGCTACCAAAAAAAAGAAAGAAAATGGTTATTTTGTGGCAGCAATGACATTCTACACTTCCATACCGTACAGACTTAGTTCTCTTAAAAGGACAATACAAAAAGTGAATACAAATACACACTATACAGTGGGTACTAATGACAATTTATGCAATTCATGGAAGTTATGCTTGGTCTGGCATCTGAGGCGTACTGCGAACATGGAAGTGCGTATTGGAATGATTGCTTCGATGTCAGCCAGTCTTACTTGTCTTTCCGTTCTCAGACTGCCTCCTGCCCTCTGTCTCTGCGAAGACAGGCACCAGTGAGACAGTGTAGAGGGTGTCTGTCAGGAGGCCTCTCAAGACAGTACTGGTGGCAGTGGCAGCTACAGTTTCCTAAAGATTATACAAACACAACCAAACTATTAACCTCTGTCCACTCCCAACACACCCACAATTAATTTTATGGCACACAATGTGGAAACAACACTTTCTACACTGTCAGCTACAGCAGAATCCTACCATTGCCTCAGCAGCTCCACCGGCAGCAGGTACATAGAAGACTTTGTACTCTTTGACTTTCCCGTCGGCTGGCTCCCAGCGCACGTTCAGGGTGGTCATGGTGGGGTTGATCACCTGCAGGTTCTTCACTCCACCAAGAGGCCCTGAGGAAGAAGACACATCAACATCACTCCAAGTAAATGGCGTCAATATCCTCAAGCCGTTACTGAGTCGAACTGATTCAATATGAATGCATATAGCTGTTTTCAAAATTGAATTTTGACAGCTATATTAAAGCTGTACCAAACAAGGCTTAAATATGGGGCTGTCACTTTCACTGATTGAACTTGGTATTGCATGGAATTAAAATCCACTAATGAAGAGCTATCCTCACTATTGATGATACTCTGAAATGATCAATTTCTCCGTCCCTCATCCCAATGTCAGCCTGTCTTACTTGTCTTTCCGTTCTCAGACATTTTCTTGCCGTCTCCCACGTTGTAGACAGGCACCACTGAAACGGTGTAGATGGTGTCTGGTGTGAGGCCCTTCAGAACGGTGTTGGTCCCAGCCACAGTCTCCTTACATTACACGTGCACAATACAACTATTAACACCTGCCCACTCCCAACTTAACAATAACTAATGTTATATAAATCACAAAATATGACAAGCAACTATATTCCGTCAAACAGGAGTGTATAAGGATTATGAGTACAATGGTACTCATACCCTTGAAAGTAACCACACTTTCTACACTGTCAGTTACCAGTCCTACCATGCTCTCAGCTCCACCGGCAGCAGGCACATAGATGACTTTGTACTCTTTCACTTTCCCCTCGGCCGCCTCCCATTTCACATTCAGCGTGACCATGGTGGGGTTGGTTACCTGCAGGTTCTTCACTCCATCAAGAGGCTCTGGACACACCAACCAGGGATATAATAATATAACTTTATACTGATTGACAGTACTTATTAAATTACTATCTCAAAGTACTTAATAAATTGCTATATTATCTTATGTTAACTTATGGAGTTTGTATGAAGTTCAAATCCAGCAATAAAGAGTTATCCTCTCCATTGATGGAACTAATGTCTTTTAAGAAGGCCATTATTCAGTCCCTGAAACTTTATACTGATTGAACATAGCATTGCAAGGAGTCTGTATGAAGTTTAAATACAGACAATGGAGAGGTATCCTCTGCATTGGTGGTTATTTATGGATTTATGGATTACTCCATAAATCAGCTTTTAAGAAGGCCATTAGTCAGTCCCTGAAACTTTATACTGATTTAACTAATGTCTTTTAAGAAGGCCATTAGTCAGTCCCTGAAACTTTATACTGATTTAACTAATGTCTTTTAAGAAGGCCATTAGTCAGTCCCTGAAAAGATCACTTAATAAGTGATCTTTAGAAGATCTTTAAAGATCTTTAGACTTAGCTGTCAGACAGTCTTACTTGTCTTTCCGTTTTCAGACTGTTTCTGTCCATCTCTCACTTCGTAGACAGGCACCAGTGAGACGGTGTAGAGGGTGTCTGGAAGGAGGCCTTTCAGAACAGTGGTGGTGGCAGTGGCAGCTACAGTCTCCTTTACATTACACAAACACATCACAACTATTAACGTCTGCCTACTACCAACATGCCTATACAACTCTGTTTGACTGAAGATAGTTGTTTGCCATATTGTGTGATTCATAAAACAAACAACTTCAAACAATACATTAATACGCTATTTCTCATTTAATTTTGGGATGTGAATTGTTGGAATATTTTTTTACACAGTCAGCCAACAGTAAGCTGAGAGACTTCCTGCCAGTCCTACCATGCTCTCATCTCCACCAGCAGCAGGTACATAGATGACTTTGTATTCTTTCACTTTCCCGTCGGCCGCCTCCCATTTTACATTCAGGGTGGTCATGGTGGGGTTGGTCACCTGCAGGTTCTTCACTCCACCAAGAGGCTCTGGATTAAACCATACAGTGCTTTAATATGGGGTTTTAAACATTTTACTTTACATTGAGTGAACTGAAATCAAAATACTGTACAAAAGAGTTATCTGCTTCATTGGTTGTACTCTAAAATTATACATCTATTAGGAGAATGTTGTAGGTGGTTTCTGGTCTTTTATAGGTCTGGTGGTTCCAGAGTTCCTGTTGTCAGGGCCACTTACTGGTCTTTCCTTGGCCTGAGATGTCTTTGGCCTCTCCGCTGGGGTAGATAGCTGCCACGGTGACAGAGTAGGGAGTGTCAGGCAGCAGCTTCTGGAGGATTACACTGTTCTTCTTTCCTCCTACCTGGGTCTGTTTGGGGGACAACAACAAAGTCAGAGGCTTTTCTTTGTCTCTGGGAGGAGAAGTGAAGTGAGAACATCTCACATCGATGTTAAAACAGTAATTTATTAGAACAGGCTGACAGATGGATGACAAGTTACACTCTTTTAATGGTTAGGGCTGTCCTCTCACCGAAGACGTGGATGTTAATTAAGGCAGCCCTCCGCACCTCTCTGATTCAGAACGGTTGGGTTAAACGCGGAAGACACATTTCAGTTGAATGCATTCAGTTGTACAACTGACTAGGTATCCCCCTTTCCCTTTCCTCAGCTCAGAGACAAAAAGCCCTGAAGTTCATTAGCTCACCACTGGGCACAAACTGGTGAAATCAACATTGTTTCAACGTAATTTGTCACCGTATTGTGACGTGGAATCTATGTGGAAAATACATTGCATTTGAAAAAAGTAATCAACGTTTGTTTTGAGGGTGAAATTTCAACCACAGGATTATGTCATCATGGTAACCAATTTTCAACATTGACAAACCTTGTATAAATATGTTGAATTTGTACCTTTGAAACAACGTCAGATCTTCAACGTATAAGAAAAAAACAATAGGCTGGGTAGCACCTCCTACTGGAGAGTTGATCTATCTACAGCTACCTTTTGGTCTCCCATCAATGGTTTTAACCAAGCTCAGCTTAGCTTTGATATTTGTCACCGACTGTTACCGATGTGCTATCGTGAGAATAATTATTGAGAAATCTCCACTTAATAGATTCTCTGTTGGTATCAAAGTCATTTCCAAAGGGTAGATCTAACAGAGCAAATGAAATGTAACCATACTTTATCAATCATATATCAATCATATAGGCCTATTTAGGCCTATCTATCGTTTGGAAAGTCATCAACGGATATTGTATGAATTCAACCTGGGATTCAACTAAACATAGACAATACTGTACATACAGGCCTAGGGATTCAATCTTTGGTTAATTTAGTTTTTTTTTTAACACTTTAAAAATGTGAATTAAAGAATATGACTAAATGAAGTCAAACTGTATTTAAAGTGCCTTTAAAGTTTGGTTTGATTTAGTCCTACTAATGAAGTTTTCCTTCAAAATTGTTGCTCAAAGCTGCGCGCATAGTGGATGTTTAAGCACCACAATAGAGACAGACCGCGCTACCGAGAGCGTGTATGCGTGTTGTATGTTGCGCTTAAAAGGGTCTGTGCGGTGAAGAAATGGAGATGTAATTAATGGCATCAAAACAATTAACGCCATTAAAAATGCAATGCATTAACGCATTATTAACAATAAATAAATAAAATATCTAACATTGTATTCCCATTTGAACTTTGTTGTGCTTTTAAAATGGTTGAAAGTGCAGTGATAACACATTTACGTGACAACTAAACCAAAAATTATACATTGATTTTCCATTGGAATTTGGTTGTGCTTTTAGATGGTTGAAAGCATAGCGATACCACATTGATAATTCAACAAACTTTTGACTGTCTTTTTTGAGTGGGTGAAAATAAGTTGTAATCTCATTGATGAACGTATCAACCAAATATTACCCAATTGGGGCGGTTGGGGCCAAGCAGAGTTCTTCAACACTGTCACAGGGAAGCCATCCAAACATGACCAATGTAAACTCCAAAGCTCTTACATCAATTTTTACTTTTACGAGGCTGTGGAGCATGAACATGGTTTCTCCCCGAGCCCAGGGAACTCTCTATAAATCAGCCAATACCTTTCCCCTCATTTCAGTCTAGCAGAAACAAAAGCAGTGTTCCCCAAGGATGAATTATTTACCCAAAGCCATTTGTGTGAACAGAGTTGCTCATTCAAACACCTTATAACAAAGAACAATTGCCTTTCTTTCACTACTCTGTTCATAAACTAGTAGTGTATAAAGGGAAGATTCCTTGGTCTTGAGGGACACTAGACATCATGGAAGAACAATTTCGTAATACTACAAGCCAATGTTTTAAATGTATCCTGTCATTTGGAACTACAGATGTAGGATCTTACTTTGAGCACTCTTTTGTTGCTGCGAATTTTCCTGCACCGCAGGAAATACAGATGAGCTTTGTGATTTACATAAATTCACAGAAAATTCGCACTAACACACGGTTATATTAACAGCATTACACTTTTCATTTAACCAATTTTTTTCCCAGCTAATAGCCTAACCACCGATCAAGCAACATTATGGACTAAACGGTCAAATCCTGTCGCTGCAATATTATTTTGTTGTGACAATACTGGTCAAATTAAGATCCTACAACTGTACAGTAAGCAACATCTATCAATGGCATGAAACGTTATAGCCACAGAGTGGACGACATACAATAGATGTTCCATTGTATTTGCTTATGTCTGACATATTCATTTAACAGATCACCTAAACTACACATCCACTTTTTGTATTTCGACATCACTATACCATTATATAAGAGACAGGCACTTGAGGGTCCCAAGAGTGAATGTCATGCCTGGCGTATTTGGCTTATGTTAAATCAAAGTCTGTAGACCACAACATCACAACAGCAGTATGTCTCCATACTGTTTTAAGTGTACAGCGATACTATAGTATAATTACAATGATGTGCTATGATGGGATTAGATAGACAATCAACAGCTCTGTCCCATGGTGTCATGTTGAAATCACAGTTTAGAGAACTGATACAATGTTTGGGGTAACCTGTCATAACTTCTCAGACACTAAAAACATTTTTAACCAAACAAATTCTTTTCATATATGCGCATCGTCTATCGAAAGACCAAAAAAAATCTATTTCCTAACAATTTCCATCGCTGATCACATTGAAGTTAGGAATGTGGGCTTGGCTGCCAGATACCGACCTCCTTTAAGTACACAAACAGACTGGATAGGAGGACAAAGTCATAATCCTAATGTCAAACTAACAATGTGGAGGAATCCCCCCGAAAAAAAAAAAAAAAACAATGTGGAGGAAGACAAAATAGCCTGCCGTTACTGCTCACTACTCTTGTCAGTGGGGAGGACACCACTTGTGGATCCCAAGAGGAAAGGGACTTCATATTACAATAAACCAATTCAGAAATGCTTCAGTACTTTTATGCGAACGGAATTAGCCATTTGTCTTTAAATGGTCCAATGCAGCCATTTTTATCTCAATATCAAATCATTTCTGGGTAACAATTAAGTACCTTACTTTGATTGTTTTCAATTAAATTAGTAAAAAAGGGAAAAAAATATCTTCTTAGCAAAGAGCAATTTCTCAAGCAAGAATTTTGCTAGGATTGTCTGGGAGTGGTCTGAGTGGGGAGGGGAAAACTAGCTGTTATTGGCAGAGAGGTTTGGAACTCTCTTATCGGACTATAAACTCCATCCCACCACAACAGGCTGGCATTTCATGCAGACTTTTCAAACTGCTCTTACACTAAAAGGGCATTATATAAAAAACACAGGAAAATCACGTTTTTTTACTGCACTGGGAAGTACTTACGGTTTCATCATTGGGGTTAAACTAGCTCAGGCACGTTGGAGAAAACCTCACCCAGATACTGGCACATTACACTGATAACAACTAACGTCACTCTATATTGTAGGGAAGTGAACTGAGAGATATCATACTGTCACGACTTCCGCTGAAGCTGCCTCCTCTCCTTGTTCGGCCAGGCTTCAGCGTTCGTCTTCACCGGCTTACTAATCACTGCCGCTTCTCATCTCATCATTTGTTTTGTCTTGTTTTTTACACACACCTGGTTCCTATCCCCTCATCAGTCCCTGTATAAGTATTCCCTCTGCCCCCCATGTCTTTGTGTGTGATTGTTTCCATGTGGAGGTGTCGATAGCTCGGTGGATCTTTATGTACTTTATCACCGGGAAATTCACTGTCACGCCCTGGCTCTGGGGACTCTAATATGTTGAGCCAGGGTGTGTAAAGTCTATGTGTTTTGTTCTAGGTTTCACTTTCTAGTATTTTTGTTCTATGTTGGCCAGTGTGGTTCTCAATCAGAGGCAACGTGATTCAGCTGTTGCTTGTTGTCTCTGATTGAGAACCATACTTTAGCAGCCTGTTTCCCCACAGAGTTTGTGGGATCTTGTTTCTAGTCTGTAGTGTTAGACCGTGAACTGTCACGTTTTCGTTTTGTCGTTTTTGATCGTGTCTCTAATAAAGAGTATGTTTGCCTGCAACGCTGCGCCTTGGTCCTCATCTCTGTTCGACGATCGTGACAGAAGATCCCACCTGAACTGGACCAAGCAGCGGGTCGAGGAACCATCGCCAGGGAAATCCCTAGCGGATATCCAGCGCCTCCTCGACTGGGTCAAGCCGGGTGAGGAAGAGAGGGGCCTGACGTGGAGGCAGAAGGGCGAAAGGCTGGCGAGAAGCATGGAGACCTGGTCCACGGGTAGGAGTGAAGCCCATACATTTTTTAGGGGGGGGCTAACGCCGTGGACGCAGCAGGAGGCCGCCAGGTTACGGGAGTCACTGGTCACCAGGGGGAAGGAGGATGTAGAGGCACGGCGAGAGGTACTGGCGTGTGTTGCCAGTCCGGTCCGGCCTATTCCTGATCCCCACGTAGGGCCAGTGGTGTGTGTTCCCAGTACGGTCCGGCCTGTTCCTGCCACTCGCACCAAGTCTACGGTGCGCGTCGCCAGCTCGGCCCGGCCTGTTCCTGCTCCCCGCACCAAGTCTGTGGTGCGCGTCGCCAGCCCAGTCCGGCCCATTCCTGCTCCCCGCACCAAGTCAGTGGTGCGTTTCGTCAGCCCTGTCCGGCCCATTCCTGCTCCCCGCACCAAGTCAGTGGTGCGTTTCGTCAGCCCTGTCCGGCCCATTCCTGCTCCCCGCACCAAGTCAATGGTGCGTTTCGTCAGCCCTGTCCGGCCTGTTCCTGCTCCCCGCACCAAGTCAGTGGTGCGCGTCGTCAGCCCGGTCCGGCCCATTCCTGCTCCCCGCACCAAGTCAGTGGTGCGTTTCGTCAGCCCAGCTCGGCCCGTTCCTGCTCCCCGCTCGGCCCGTTCCTGCTCCCCGTACTTTGGGGGGTTGGAGAGGGAGCGGGGTCCCTCCCCTGTGGTAT